TATCACTAGAGGCCTCAGGATCCTCATCTGTAAAATGGGAATAATAACAAAACTTATGTCGTGGAGTCATCGTAAGGATTCTGACTTTGCATATGTGAAGTGCTACGAATAATGTCTGGCACTTAAGTGCTCAGTTAATATTAGCAGGGGCTTTGCAAAATCAGACAAGTGGGAAATGACTACCAGCTGAAGTCATCCAGGAAGGCTTCCCAGAGGAGGTGGGATTTGAACTAGAGTTGGTAGGATGGAGGGAATTCAAGTAGGCAGAGAGGAGCAAGGAGGTTGATCCTTTCTGGGATTCAGTTAAAAAGCAGGGGGGGGGGGATATCCGATGAGGAAGAGCCCTCAGGAAAGCAGAGAATTGGTGAAGGGTGCTATTGGGTGGCAAGGCATGAAAGGCAAGGCCCTATGTTTTGTGCCTTCTTGTGTCCTCCTTGGGTGCTAATGCCCTGCCTCACGGTGGGCCTTCTCTAACCACCCCCTGAAGGAAAACCTACGCTCTTCTCTGAAAGACACTCTGCGCCTGCCTCTGAATCTTTCATCTCCCTTGTAGCCAACAGGAAAATTACCTCAGGGTGTGGGCTTGACAGGGAATTACAGAAACCCTGGCTATCCCCCCCCCCCAAATTCCTACACACAGACTCCGAAAACCATGCTTCTATTTCGGGCAGTTGAGTGCTTGGGAGGAAAAGTGCAGGAAATGTGAAATGAGAAGGTGGTAGCAACATTCCCATGTGTACAAACGCTGAAGGGCTCCTATTACAGAAAGTGAGAGAGAAACTCGGTGAGTCCCTGCAGAGGTGGCCGGATGGGCTCCAGCGTGGGGCGCCCACAAGGCGCCCAAGGTGGCCTTGGCTGTTTCAGGGTTGCCAGGCTCCCATCCTCTGTTTGTTTCAAGAGAAGACAATCTATTTTTACACACGTCCCCTTATATTTCTAGACTCTTTAAGATTTGGAGGGGAAAAGATGAAAGATTCATTTAGATAATTTATCTTTGTACCAAGAAGAAGCCCGATGTTGAACTGCAGCAGTGAAACATTCATCAGTGAAGTGGAGGGAAGGTGTGGTTGATGTGGGGCGGGGGGGGACCCATAATCCTGTGCTCGCTGGGGACAGAAACCGTACAAACAGAAGGATGAGGATACCAAATAAAGAGTGCAATCCCAATTATGGTTATTTGCTGATTTACACCCTGACGCCTTCGAAAATTATTTGAGCTTGCCGAAATTCAAGTTGAGAAGCCCAACTCTTTTAGTGAACATCCACTGACACCCTTTCTTAAAGCAAAAGCTAGACCCTCTAGAGGGAGACTTTTCACTTAAAAAAAAAAAATATGTTCCTTTCTGCAGTGCGACACAGTCCTGCATGGGGAAAAGAGCATGAATCAAGCTGGCAATTCACTTGAATCAAACCTACATTCCCCATTTCTGTCACTGTTCTACACGCCACAAAGAGACAAGTTTCACAAAGGGAACTTTCCTACATGAAAATGTTTACTGGGGCAGAAGATACAGATATATGCCCAAATCATAAATACACAGCTGGATGGATTTTCATGGTGTGAAAATGTTCGTGCAGCCAAGCATCCAGATCAAGAAACAGAACATTACTGGGATCCCAGAGGCCCCATCTGTTCCCCTGGACCTTTGAGGGTAACCATTCCCGAGATTTCTAAACACCACAGATGACTTTGCTGGCATTTGAACTAACATAAATGGAGTTACATGTCACTTACTCTTTTGTAAACTCTTCCACTCAACATTGTTTGTGAGATTCATTCACAACATTCATTCGCTCATTCTCATTGTTGCATAGGATTTATTTATTTAAAATGCTGTGATTTACTAACTTCTTCTATGATGAACAGATCTTTGGGTTCTTTCCAGTTTGGGACTAACTCATTTAATCCTTAAATACACAAGAATGTGTAGGTCTTGTGTGTGTTGGGATTATACTAGGAGCGGAAGGGCTGGATACATTTTGAGGGTTGGCCAGTCATTGGAAACTACGAAAGGAGGTAGACACTGGAATGAAACCAGGGAAAAACCCAGTCCTTGTTTGCAAGGACCTCACCATCCAGTGAAGGACAGAGCTGAGCTGCCACATGCCAACAAGGATGTTGGTAGGGGGCATGTGCATTCTCCATCATACAGTAGTGTTGACAGAAATGAGCACCTGGGATGGAGGGGGAGACAGGAAGGTGGGAGCCAGGAAGGCTTCCCAAAGGGAGTGACACTCAAAGTGACTTTTGAAGCATGAAAAGATATTGAAGGAGGGACAAAGTGAGTGGAGAAGGCAAGAGAAGCGTGTGTGGAAAAGCAGAGACGAGAGGAAGTAGGTCAAGTCCAGAGACGGTGTGTTAGAGCAATAAAGGAAGGTCAGAAATGTTTGATGAAGGTCAAGGCCGACTAGACAAGTTGGGGGCAGAACATGAAGGACCTTGCTTTCCATCTACAGAATACATTCATTCTTCTGCATATGATGGGAAGCTGCAGAAGATTCTAGGGCCAAGGACTGGCAATATCAGTTCATTTAGGTGGCTATGTGGAGACAGGACTGGAGAAGGGCCTGGAAGCTGGAAAGGGGAAGGGAGTGTGTTATCTTAGCAGATGGAAACCTGGTGATTCTTTGAAGTCTGGTTTTGGCCAATATCCAGGTCAAGAATCTGGATGGCTTCTAATGGAATATGGAGGCTATGCAGAGAGAGGGGTGTGTGTGGGTGCCAAGTTTCAATGTGCAGAAACCACACACAGTAATTCATACAGAAAGCTTTTGGGGCCAGGAAGCCCCCTGCTGACATGCAGACTGGTGTAGGCAAGGAGCCCTCTGCTTGCAAGTGGAGAGGCAAAGCATATGTGTGAGGAATCCATGCCAAAAATCAAGTGCACTACAGCATGGTCTACAACAGTGGTGCCAGGACCTCATTGCTCTCTACCCCCTCTGCAGACCCAGACGGAATACTGAGTGGAGACAGGCAAGTTCTCATCTCGCCCAGCTTCCTCATAGACTCAGGAGAGGATTCTAGAAAAGTCTCCTAGCCTCCTCAGATTGAACTCATAAATTCAGTAGTAATATTTTATGTATACTTAGCTAATTCAGTGCCTGGATGGAGCCCAGAAACTCGGTGTTAGGACTCTGAATGAATATTTGACATGGCATGAGAGGTGTATAAAATGGGAAAATCCTGATTATTAAATTTCCTTCTAAAATTGATACTATATTAGACAATATGAAAAATTCATAAAAGCAGAAAGCATTTGCCCCATATTCCACTGGCCAAAGAAAAGCACTGTTGATTTTTCCTCCTCTCCTTCCTCCCTTCCTTCTTTGCTTTCATGCACACATTTCTTTAGAGTTGTAATCGTAAGGTAGCCTTCATTTTTGCCATAAGTGGCATTATCTCCAATTGCTTAAGAATTTTTATGACCACACTTTTCCCTTTAATAAAATAAAATTTAATTGCAAAACTTAGAGAACATACTCTGCAAAAAAGAAAAAAACACCCCTAAGTTCCCACCACCAAGAAATAACCATTCTCAATTCTTAGTCTGTCTTGACATTGTGTTCTTGTCTATAAGTTAATAAAATTATTGCTTTATATTACCTTTAATTTTACAACCTTTAAATTATTACCTATGTATTACAGATATTTTCCTAATTGTATTCCATTGTATAACTGCAGATTTTATTGGAATAATTCCTATTTTGGGACACATAAGTCTCCAAATTTCTTAATATTAACAATGCTGCGCTTGTTCATTTTTTTTAATTTTATTTTTTTATGTTATGGTAGTCACCATACATTACATCATTAGTTTTTGATCTAGTGTTCCATGATGCATTGTTTGCGTATAACACCCAGTGCTCCATGCAATACGTGCCCTCCTTAATACCCATCACCGGGCTAACCCATCCCCCACCCGCGTCCCCTCTAAAACCCTCAGTTTGTTTCTCAGAGTCCATATTCTCTCATGTTTCGTCTCCCCCTCTGATTTCCCCCCCTTCATTTTTCCCTTCCTACTATCTTTTTTTTTTTTTAAACATATAATGTGTTATTTGTTTCAGAGGTACAGGTCCGTGATTCATCAGTCTTATACAGTTCACAGCGCTCACCATAGCACATACCCTCCCCAGTGTTTATCCATCACCCAACCACCCCATCCCTCCCACCCCCCACCACTCCAGCAACCTTGTTTGTTTCCCGAGATTGAGTCTCTTATGGTTTGTCTCCCTCTCCAGTTTCATCTTGTTTCATTTTTATCCTCCCTTCTCCTATGATCCTCTGTCTTGTTGCTCAAATTCCTCATATCAGTGAGATCATGTGACACTTGGCTTTCTCTGATTGGCTTATTTTGCTTAGCATAATACCCTCTAGTTCCATCCACGTTGTTGCAAATGGCAAGATTTCATGGGGTTTTTTTTTTTGATGGTTGGATAATATTCCGTTGTATATATATACCACATCTTCTTTCTCCATTCATCTGTTGATGTATATTTTGGCTCTTTCCATAGTTTGGCTATTGTGGACATTGTTGCTATAAACATTGGGGTGCATGTACCCTTTCAGATCCCTACATTTGTATCTTTGGGGTAAATACCCAGTAGTACAATTGTGGGGTCGTAGGGTAGATCTATTTTCAACTTTTTGAGGAACCTCCATACTGTTTTCCAGAATGGCTGCACCAGCTTGCATTCCCACCAACAACGTAGGAGGGTTCCCCTTTCTCCGCATCCCTGCCAACATCTGTCATTTCCTGACTTGTTAATTTTAGCCATTCTGACTGGTGTGAGGTGGTATCTCATTGAGGTTTTGATTTGGATTTCCCTGATGACAAGCAATGTTGACTACTTTTTCATGTGTCTGTTGGCCATTTGGATGTCTTCTTTGCAGAAGTGTCTGTTCATGTCTTCTGCCCATTTCTTGATTGGATCATTAGTTCTTTGGGTGTTGAGTTGGATAAGTTCTTTATAGATTTTGGATACTAGCCCTTTATCTGATATGTCATTTGCAAATATCGTCTCCCATTCTGTCGGTTGTCTTTTGGTTTTGTGGACTGTTTCCTTTGCCGTGCAAAAGCTTTTTATCTTGATGAAGTCCCAATAGTTCATTTTTGCCCTTGCTTCCCTTGTCTTTGGCAATGTTTCTAGGAAGAAGTTGCTGTGGCCAAGGTCGAAGAGGTTGCTGCCTGTGTTCTCTAGGATTTTGATGGACTCCTGTCTCCCATTGAGGTCTTTCAACCATTTGGAGTCTATTTTTGTGTGTGGTGTAAGGAAATGGTCCAGTTTCATTCTTCTGCATGTGGCTGTCCAATTTTCCCAACACCATTTGTTGAAGAGACTGTCTTTTTTCCATTGGACATTCTTTCCTGCTTTGTCGAAGATGAGTTGACCATAGAGTTGAGGGTCCATTTCTGGGCTCTCTATTCTGTTCCATTGATCTATGTGTCTGTTTTTGTGCCAGTACCATACTGTCTTGATGATCACAGCTTTGTAATAGAGCTTGAAGTCTGGAATTGTGACGCCACCAGCTTTGCTTTTCTTTTTCAACATTCCTCTGGCTATTCAGGGTCTTTTCTGGTTCCATACAAATTTTAGGATTATTATTCCATTTCTTTGCACTTGTTCAATTTTTAAAGAATATATACTCTTTACATGGAATTGCTGGGCTAAAAAAAAAAAAGATCTGTGTAAATTTTTAAGACTTTGACTACATATTACCAAATATCTGTCTAGGAAGTATTTACCAACTTATAGTACCAAGAGCAAAGTAGTACCCATTTCTCTACAACTTCACCAACATTAGGCACTATCAATCTTAAAACAACAATACATTAATCTAATGGAAGAAAATGGAATTTTATTATTTTCTTTATTACTAATGAAGTTAAATATTTTTCTTTTGTGAACTCTCTGTTCAAAACATCATTTTTCTACTGGCATAGTTCTGTTATGTGGATATGCTATTATTTATGTAAGCATTCTCTAGGGAAAGGGGAAAAGCAAAGTATATGGAGTTCAAGCCAAAAAGCAAATGTAGATTACTACATACTACATACTAAATGCATGTAGATTACTACATGCATGTACAACAACGTGGTAAAATCTCACTGCCATCCATCCCTTCTGGAGACTTCCAGGTTTTTGGTGTTGGGGGTTCTTAGAAAATATTCCAATTATACCTAGTACTACTTTAATGTAGAAATTAGCCTTTATTATAGCAGTTAGATAAACAACTAGTAGTCTGAGAACAGATGTCCATAAAGGCAAAACAAACTAAATTTCAGCTGTTCGTGTGTTAAGGTGTCTTTTTGTATTTAATATGAACTATCAAGTAAGATAGGAATTGTGTCTCACCACATGCTCTCAAATGTGGGCTGTTTATTCTTCTCCTCAAACACACACACAGGATTCTGGAGGTCTGAGGCCAAATGACATGTCCTCTGATGCTAATACATACAGGTACTCGAGGAGGCAGAAGTAGAAATGTTGAGGAATTGTGAGGTCAGAGATGCTTGTCCTAACTCTTTTGCCTTGTTCTTTGGAGATCATCTTCTGGTCCCATTTAGCATGAATCTCCTAGAGTTTGAAAAAAAAATTTTTTAGAAATTATCCTTGGTTTTGGATCAAACCTCTCCATGGTTTTAGGGGTGTGGGGGGGAATTTCACTAACACAAACTTGAGATCAGTGTACGTGAAAATGTGAATGTATGTACATGCTTATGGATTTGGTGCTCAGGAATAAAAGGGTTTTAAGCCTACTTGATCACCCCAGAAATTTTGTTTTGTTTTTTAACACATACTCCTGAGCACCATCCAAAGCATCTGGGGTAAAACCATAACACTGTTTTCATGTACTACTCAGGTGATTCTGATGATCGGACAGATTAGTTGTCTGGTCTCTATTTTGCTGATGTGTCCCCTATTCTAATGATTATTGTGTTTTATGTTATCTGTTTTCTCTACTGGCTCTTCAACTAGTGTTTGCTTCAGTGTCTGCTTTTCATAAGAGGAATCTACCAGATTTGCATGTAATATGCAGGATTCAGTGTACTGCTTCCTTGTGAGGTCTCAGGATTTTTCTTAGTTCTGGACAATTCATAGCCATTTCACGCAAAGCACTGCCCTATTCCCATTTTCACTTTCTGAAATCCCATTACAGCTAAATTCAAACTTCTGATTTAATCCTCCGTATCTCCAAACCTGTCTTTTTGATTTCATTGTTGTTTATCTCTCTCTGCCACACTCTGGGTAATTTCCTCAGACATATCCTCCATGTCATCACTTCTCTTTAACTTTGCCATTGTGCCGTCAAAGCTGGTCATAGCTGAATTTTATTCACAATGTTTCATTTTGAATTGTTCTACTGCGTTGTCATAACTGCCAATTCTTTTCCATTTTTTCTTTTTTCTTTTCATGAGGGCTTTTTATTTCTCCCTTTATCTCTTTCATGATTGTGAATTTACTTAAATTTATACTCGTCCCACATGTATCTGTCGACTCTCCCATTTTGTGGACCGCTTCCTGGATTTGTGCTTTGTGAGCATTTTTTCAGTTAGGATATAGCTCCCTGGGGAATGCTTGGGTACTTTAAGATGTGGTAGTAATCCTTCAGAGGAGTCTTACATTTGATTCTTCGGTGAAGTCCAGACATTTCACTGGTCAGAAATATTTATGGTATATTATATATTAATATATATTAATATCTTCATTTGGGGTACCTCTGCTATGAGGAGGGTCTAAAATTTGGATGCTACACCTATGCATAGCACAGATTTTCTTTAAATTGCCATTTATTGTGGAAAATTTTCCTCACCCAGATATCTGATCAGTGAGAAATTTGCCAGTAGCTTTAGTGAGTAAATAATGCTTTATGGTCCCTTAACAGAGTGGAAGCCGGTCTTCCTTGGTCCTAGCTTTATAAGCGAATTTCAGTTCCAACTTCTTACCTTCCTTAGGCCCAAGGGCCATGTGTAAAAAAAAAAAAACTCCAGGCCCTAGTTGTTAGGTCCTATGGTCATGTCTGATGTCCTCTGTTCTGGCCTGACCTCCTGTACTTACACACCGATTATGAGGTTCTTCTTTATTTTTGGCACATAAGAGTTTCGTCTCTCTGTTTCTCAGTCTCCATCTCTCTCTCGCTTTCTTCCTTCCCTATATGTAAAATAGTTTCATTAGATTTTATCCAGCATTTTCATGTGTCTGTAGCACACAGATGTTAGGAAAGCAGCGTTAAGTACATGGAATTAGAAAGCATTATCAGTCAGGTTTGGAGACCCCCCAACAGGTGCAGTAGACGATACACGGCTTGAAAACTGGAACCAGAGTTGGAACCGTGACTTCACCCCTTTCTGAGTAAGTTGGCCTGAGTCATTTAACCCCTCTCTAAGCTTTAGTTTTCTCAGCAGGAAAATAGGGATAATACTACTAGTGATCTGCCTTAGATGTTCCTCCTTAATGCTCTAAATTCCCTCCTGTTTAAATTGATGCCATTTTCTCCACCCTCCATTCCTACAAAAGCTGGGGAAAACTGCAAGTTTCTCATTCAATATTTTCCTTTAAAAAACAGCTAATGGATGTAGTGGTTGACTGAATGATCTTACTACTTTTCCTTTCACCAATGTATTTCCACATACCAATGGACTGAGGAAAACTCTGGTTCAAAAAAAGAACCTAAATTGGAAAGAAATGATGAATTCCATTTCCTACAAGTTTGCAAGGGGATGAGAGAGGAGTGGACTTTCCTCCCCCTTCTTGCCTCTCTCTCTCTCTCTCTCTCTCTCTCTCTCTCTCCCTGGAGTGCAAATGAGTGAAACCGTATATTGGTTTAGAGGTTCTGCTTGGGTAAAAGTTTAAGAGCCAATAAATCTGTCAGAGTAGATCTCAGGCTGAGCCAAGGTGAATAGCCTCACGGTAATTTTTCCAGAGCCTCAGGGTACCAGGCAGAACAAGCAGAGAGGTCACCGGATGCTGGCTTATCCCCTGCTCGGGAGCTGAGACATCAGCCCACGGGAATGTGAGGAGCTTTTCCCAAAAAGTTTGTGTTTACTGTGTGGTAAAATCCCTTGTCACACAGCAGAGCAGTCAGATTTTAAAAGCAATTAGAGAAGAAAACAGAGGCACATAAAACTCACAGGTCCTCTCAGTGAATCTGGTGGTTTGCAGGCTCCAGGTGAACATTACTCTTCATTGTGGAAGGCAGTTTGGTGGTATCACTTGAGACACTTCCAGCTTTTCACTTAGAGAAACGTATGCTGTGGACAAACACAAAAGCACTAGGTGGTCCATGGTGGCTTATTTGTCCTGTATTGGGCACTTCATTTTGAATAATGAAAAATTTAGGAGAGCTTATAAAAATCGTACCAGGATACATTATACAATGGAATGTTCTACAGGTACTCTCTAGACTCACTTGGAAAGGTGCCTAAGAGTATGACCTTTGGAGTCAGCCTGTGTGAATGTGACACTGAGCAAACAGCTGCTCGTTCCTGTGACTCAGTTCGCTCACACATACAAGCAGGATGACAGTAATACTTGAACCCTAGGGTTATTGTGAGCATCAAAATGAGTTAATCTATAAAGGGCTTATAATAATGTCAGACTCATTGTCAAGTACTAAGCTGTTCTGGTAAGTATTATTGTTAATAACTCAAAATAGCAAGCTGAGGTTAACTGCTTGGGTCTGGGCATGACACTTGTGAGGTTTGAGGAGAGAGCGAACTTGCAGTTTTCATTTTATACCATTTGGATTGGTTACTGTGTATACAACACTTTCATTAAGAAAAATCATTATTCAAAAGCATACAGGATAGGAAGACTGTTGTTCTGAAAGTTTGGCTTATAACCAGCATTTTAAACAATCATTCACTGATGGCCATATATTTAATGCATTAGGAACTGATTCCTGTGAGCAATCCCTTACATTTAATCCCCCACATCTGTAGTGCATTTTACAATCAGCAAAATGTTTTTATATTCATGAGTTCATTTAATCCAGCTAACTGGATTATTTATGAATTCACTTAATCCCTGTGAAGTGAATTTTCATATGTATTATTCCAAATAGATGGGTGGGAGAGAGTGAGAGTGGATTGTTGTTTTATTTTTTATTTTTTTTTTAAAGATTTTTTATTTATTTATTAGAGAGAGAATGAGAGACAGAGAGCATGAGAGGGAAGAGGGCAGAGGGAGAAGCAGACCCCCTGCTGAGCAGGGAGCCCGATGTGGGACTCGATCCCAGGACCCCGGGATCATGACCTGAGCCGAAGGCAGTCGCTTAACCAACTGAGCCACCCAGGCGCCCTGGATTGTTGTTTTAATTTTCCTCTGCTCATGGCAGAGCTGGGCAGGCAACAAAATTGAAGCTTAGAGTGTTAAGGGCTTACTTAAGATCCGATAGCTCCTGGGTAACAGAAATAGATGAAAAGCCCAGTTTCCCCAGGCAAAGCTCCTTCCACCAAACCATGATTACCCTGTGGATTGACAATTCTACCCTATGCATGAACACTATTAAGTATCTGGTTTGGCAAAAAGGTGGGTTTCTAGTGGCTCAACGGGAAAGAACAGCTGAAAAGAAAGTTCTCAAAGTTCATAAACCAAGCTTGTTTAGGAAGCTTCAAGAAGCTCAGGATAAAGATGACCAGTGACAGAACACATAGTTGGCTTCTGGGCATAGAACCCTCAAGTGGGGTCATGCTGGGAAGGTAAAACCCTAGAATAAGAAAAAACTGCTCAAAGTGGTGGAACCAACAGTATAATTAAAAATAGTAGCTATGGGATGTAGTAGAGGTCATTAAGATAATGAACACATTTAAAGCAATAGGCCAAATAGCCTGCTATCTACGTGATCTGTGGCAAGTTGCTCTTCTCTCTGGTTTTCTCACTTCTAAAGTGCCTTTAATCCATCTAAGTTGAATGAGATTGATAAGGTCATTGCTCTCAAGGAATTTACATTCTGGCAGGGGCAATAAACAGACAATAACATATAAAATATAGGAGATAGTGGTAAGTGTTATCCACAGAATTAAAATAGGCTGATGGGAAAGATGAGTGAGTACCCTAGGTGGGTGCCCAGGGAAGGATTCTCTGAGGAGGTGACATTTTAGGTGAGAATACAAGAAAGACTGAGCCATGTGTGAATCACAGAGAAACTCATTTGAGGCAGAAGAGCTAGTGTGAAGACTCTAGAGAGGGAATGAGCTTGGAGTTGTGAGGAACCAGCCGGAGCACGGATGGTGTTTTAGTCATAGAGACTTTTGAAAGATTTTAAACCAATTTATGATCTGATCTACTTCATGGTTCAAACAAGTTTACTGTCATTACTATGTGCAAGACTGGATGCAAAATGCCAGGTAAAAAGCCAGTGTGGTGGTTCAGAAGAAATATGATGTCTTTGTCTAAGGCTAGAGTCACAGAAATGCATAGAACTGGACAGATTCAAGGTGTTTGCTGGAGTAGATTCAACAGTGTGTAGATAAATGGCTTTTGTGAGTTGAGTGAAAGAGAAGGCTCGAGGACAACTGTCAGATTTGCAGCTTGAACAAGTGGCTGGATGTTGGCGCCATTTTCCAAAATGGGAAGAAAGAGGAATATAAGGGGTAGTTACTGTGTGGGCAGAGAGCTGTGGCTCAAAAGTTCTGTATTGGTCATGGCAAGCATGTGAAAATGTTAAGCCGGCAACTAGAGTCAGGAGTCCTAGGGATACAACATAGTTAATGATAAATATCTGGGGGTGATCAGCATAAAACTATGGGCTGGATGGAATCCCCTAAAGAGATTTAGCAGAGAAGAGAAGGGGTGAGTATAGGATCCCAAAGCAGTCTTACATCAGAGGTCAAGTTGAGTACATGGACCAAGGGAGAATGAAAAGAGTGTGATGGGAGATAGAAACGAAATCAGAAGAATGTGGTATCTAGGGAAGCTTCAAGAAGCAGAAAACAACCCAAGGTAAGGCCAGGAAATACAGAATTTGATTCCATGTAAAAGAAATCAGGTTTAAGCATCCAGGTATATCTACAATGATTATGTTTCTACAGCACTTAAGGAGCCCTTAACCGTAAGTTTGCCAAGAGGTCTGGAGAGTTCCATTGAAAGGCAATAGACAGGACTTCCAATACATAGGAAATCTGAAGGACACTCATCAGGAAGATAAACAAACATGCAGAGTCACTGCAACAAGGAGATTAATGTACTTCAAGATAAATGTAATCTTAATAAGTGGAATGGATCTAAATGTAATTAATTATTACACACTATAAGGAAATAAGAATTATATGTAACATAGAAGTATTAGAGTTTTTCACTTCATCATTGATGTTTGGGTTTGTGGCACAAATTGAATAGTAATTCTTTTTGATAGAACTATCTTCATTTAGGAAAACTGTAAAGCTGATTAGGGGTAGAAGGAACACTCGGAGAACATGGGTCAGCATCAACCAAACTGCTCTACATTAAAATGTCTTAGAATTTAGTAGTGGGGAAAGAAAAGGAGAAGACAGTGCTAAGCCACATGGCAGGGAGGTGGAGTCCGAGTTGCAGAAATAGCAGAAGGGTTTTTAGGAACGTCCACATCCAACACTGAATTTCAATATAATGCTACACAAATAAATACCTCATGTGCTTAAAGAAAAACCTGTATGGACATTTAGAAACTTCACAGATCTTCCAAGCAGCGTTTATTCACCCAACTGTTAAAATCTTAAAGCTGAGGATTACTTGACATTTGAAGAAAGCCTCTACCATAAAAGGAAGAAAGGAAACTCAGAAGAAAAGTTTGATTAAACTGTAGTTAATGACCTCAGAGAGATAAGCTATTTATTCTGCAAACAAGGTCAGGATGCTATTAAGCAGACATTATTATTAAGATAAGAAAGGGCTCTTATAAATGTAAATAGAAGAGCTAAAACTATAGAGGAATCCAGAAGGCCCAATACCCTACAAAATAGCGTTTGGAAGAGAAAACTGTTAAGAGAAATATTACAAGGACATTTTCTGGGCCTGAAGTACATGTATGTCCAGGCTGAAAAGGCCTCCTGAGCACCATGCATGAGAGAAGACCCACCACCATTTTAAGTTTCAATAACGGGAAAAAACAGTTCACACACAAATGATCGAGAGTAAGAATGGCCATGAACACTGTACCCAGCGCTATCTAGACAGAATGCAATTTTTTTTTTTTTTTTATATTTAAGACCTAAATAGTCTGAGAAGCCTTCTAAAGGATGGCTCCCCACAAAGCTCTAAGGTAAACCAAGAAAGAAGGAATGCTATCCAGAAAACCAGGAATCCACCCCGGAGGGAGAGAAGGAAATCCCCTGGAGGAGTATGACCAGTGGGCGTGGGGGTAGAAAGCACGCAATCCAGGCGAAACCAGATGACCGGGGACATACAGCAGAAAAAGCTTTCCAGAAAGTTTCCAACGAATTATCTGGTAGATTTTTACATCAAGGGCTGTGTTGCTTGGGAGAAGAACTGCAGGAGCCCAGCGGCCCTGCTTCAAGTACCGACCCTGCCATTTAGGACCCCACCATGCTAGTCAATTACCCTCCATGCTTCACATTTCCCAATTATGAGATGGATCATAATGTACGTACCTCACTGAGTTCCTGTGAAAAATAAGTCCGTTACTATACTTAATGTGTTAAAAAAACAAAAAACAGTGCCTTGAATATTACGCTACTGGAGGCACTGGAAAGACTTACCATGTACGGAGAAAACTAAAGGCATTTTTTTTTTTTTTTAAAAAGAGACCAGGGCACCTGGGTGGCTCAGTCGTTGGGCGTCTGCCTTCGGCTCAGGTCATGATCCCAGGGTCCTGGGATCGAGCCCCACATCGGGCTCCCTGCTCGGCAAGAAGCCTGCTTCTCCCTCTCCCACTCCCGCTGCTTGTGTTCCTGCTCTCACTATCTCTGTCTCTGTCAAATAAATAAATAAATAAAATCTTTAAAAACACAAAAACAAAAACAAATTCTCAGCTCTACAGAAAGCAATAACTGGACAAGAAGGGAAACATGGTAATAGGGTCCTTGGCTCAACAGTGACTATTCCATTGTCCTATAATACAAATATTGTATTGGATGGAGGAATGGTAAACAGATATACAAGACATAACTTTATGTACCATAATAGAATGTGAACAGAGGTAGCATTCTATTTAGACTATGGAAATAAATATTAAAATGAAGGGCTAAATACATCTACATTACTCCTCAAAGCACAGGATGTGATTAACTATGGCCATTTGGTACCATAAATGAATAAATTTTTAAAAATTTTTTTAAAAGGAAACACAGGAGGACCAGGTGGTTTTATAGTTTCTGACAGGGGCCTCAAGTTTAGGGTCCATGGCACTAAACACTATGAGTTTGCACTGTTGGGGAACAATCCAAGAGAAAAGCTACCCTCTGCGAGCATTTCATTCCACAGTCCCAGGACATGAGTCTCTCACCCTGGAAAAGCCTTTTTTTTCTATCTGGTAAGGGGCCTGCTGAGGCAACTTACCCTTTTTCTTTTTGATCTTCACTGCCTAGGACCTGGGTTAAGTTTGGCTTGATCCTACAGCCCCTCCTTTAAAAAAAATAGTAATAAATTTTAGTTAGAAATCTTATTTTCTTTTTTTTTTTTTTAGAAATCTTATTTTCTAAAAGTCATGACAAATGATATTTATTTATTTATTTATTTATTTATTTATTTATTTATTTATTTAAAGATTTTATTTATTTATTTGACAGAGAGAGACACAGCGAGAGAGGGAACACAAGCAGGGGGAATAGAAGAGGGAGAAGCAGGCCTCCTGCGGAGCAGGGAGCCTGATGTGGGGCTTGATCCCAGGACCCTGAGATCATGACCTGAGCTGAAGGCAGACGCTTAATGACTGAGCCACCCAGGCGCCCCGACAAATGATATTTAAAGGCATATGACTGGCATAGGGATAAATATCCCTGTCATGCTCTGAAATTAAATAGATAAAAGGCACTGTGCCAAAGGACAGCCCGCAGAATGAGCGAGAAGGCATACAGGTTGTCCACACAAGGATAAAGTTTAAGTGAGACCTGATTTTGTCTGAGCTCCATCTGATGTTTCAAAGCCAAGGCAAGCTCTGAGTGCCCTAATTGCAGCCCCCAGGTATCCAAGCTGGCTGGTACTTTTCTATCTCAGTGACCATCCCAGGGGCTTCTTTCCATCCCTGGCTAGGCTGCTTTGTGGTACTCAGCCCCCACACTGTCTTTAAGGGTTGAATAAAACCGCAAGACTAGCCAGCACGGAGGAATTCCCTTTATTAGGCATTTTCCTGTCTGGAGGACAGGTGTGTTTGGATTTCAATGACCAAACTGAAATTTCTACAGCTGAGCCAAAGACCGCTGCTCCAGAAACCCAGAGGGAGACCTGGGGGTCTCGTGTTACGTATTGTATCTTGGCAACACTTCTTGGTGCTGCTGACCCATAGCAGAGGCCCTGCTTCTTTGTGATGGGCCTTGGAACAATCATATTTCTAGCTGTGTCAAGAAGAAACCATGTGATAAAGGGGTAAGGAGCCCTTGCTTGGGTCATAGAGACACCAAGGCACCGCCTGAGAATGAAATCCCACTCAAAATATGTGAACACACATTTTATGGCATCCTCAGGAAGCAAGGATTTTTTTAAGAAACAAAATCCGTACAGATAATTTTTTTTTTTTTAGACCATCTGAAATTCTGAGTAAGCAGCCTTGGATGTATAATACCCATGGATTTTGGCACTTTCAACAATACGCAGGAGGTCTGAGATTTGGTTTTTAATTCCTTCAAGCATTTCCCTATAAAACTGATGCATGCCAGCCATTTTTTGTAGAAAGAATTTTAGTTTCCTTTCTCACCTTTTCTTTCCTAGAGGCTAGTGCTATGGTAAAAAAAAAAAAAAAAAAAAAAAAAGAGAGAGAGAGAGAGATTGAGGATGGGAACAAATACTTATGAATTGCCCCTTATGTGGGCAAGTTACTATTCCACCACGATGCCCAGCACAGAATCAATTTTAAACATGAAGACACTGGAGTGCAGTTGAAAATGTCTAAAATCACAAGGCTAATGAGCAGTAGAGGTGAGATTAAAATGAGGTTCCCCTGAATCTGAAATTGATGCTCTTTCCATTATACCATGTTCCCTCTCATAAATCCAAGCACAGAGCTTTGTTTTCTCTTCTGCGCTGCCACTCACAAAGATGTTGCAATCCATCTATTCATGGAAGTCATGTAAGACAGTCCTGTAATTTCCAACTGTGAGAGTGAATGCACTTATCTCTATTTATCAATTGAGGCTCCTACTGTGACATGTTTCTCTATCTTGCCAAGTATTTAAAAATCTCCATTATGCATTACTTCTCACCTTGCCTGGTGAAAGTTGGCAAGCACTGTTATCCTCACTTAATAACTCCAGTTACCCAGGGAATAGCCTGGATTAGAAGCGATGATACCCAAAGCTCATGGATAAGCACTCTGAGTCTCCTGTCTAGACTCCATGAATAATTCAGAGGTCTATTTGGTGGAAATCCAGTTAGGAGTCTGGCAGATAGGATGGCAGAGCTGTTCCATACAGGACACTATTCATGCCTTGGTTTCCTCCTAGCTCTCTGACTGCGTCTCCTTAGGGGCAATCTAATTCCCCCATCCTTTAAGAGTTGGTGTAACACAAGGTTCTGGTCCCAGCTCCCTCCTTGGTTATTCTCTTTGTTCATTCAGCCAAAAATTATGGGAGCTCCCATTACTTGTGCATGTCAACTGCCTGTTGGCATCCAGGTCTATTTCTGGCTCTTTCCCTGTTCTGCTCTACATTTTAGGCTCCCTTGCCCTCTAGCGTCTGGTTACTTTCAATTTATGGGTGGTATAATGTAAAATTGGAGGGGGGAGAAGGAAAAACCAGATGCTGCTTCCATTCTCTCTCCTGCATTTCCTGGGGAACTTCAGGTCCTGGACCCCAACTGGTGACCTCTCCAGGCAGCCCCCCCAATGCGGTTCTAGCTCCTGCCAGAAAATGTGCTCCCTTCCTCTACTGTCCCTCCTTAGGGTGATGGCAGCTTCCAGCTGTTAGTGATCTGTGGGTTACCTCATTGCTTCCTGTATGGCTTTCCAGCTTTTCTATACCCTTCTGTACTAAATCCCATTGGCTTGGAAAAGGTAGAGGACTGTTTTCCTGGCTCTATCTTCTTAGGTACAAGTTATAGGAACCAAACCTGACATGTTGGCAGGAAAGGAATTAGTGGGGAGATCAAAGAATCTCTGAAAGGACAAAAGGAGGAGAGGCTCTGAGAGTACAACAAGGGAAAGAGCAATGCTCAAAAATATCCCATTAGAACTGTTCAGTGAAGCCAGGCTCTATGCATGGGCGGGGGGCGGGGGGGGGGGGCGGTGTACAGACCATAGTTCCACCAACACCGGATGCTGGACACTCGCATTCACATTGTTGTCTCTGCTACCGTCTGGCAACAGAATCCATTCTGGGCATTTCCTTTGTCATGCCAGGAGCTTCCAATTGAAGGGAGTGGAGTGGGTGTATCTGATGAGCACAGACCAGGTCATGTACCCACCTGGGGCTGTAAGTGTACCTGACCTTTCCAATTCCCATCGTGAGAGAGGGGCTCTTTACAGGCAGCAGGATAATTTAAATACAAGATAAGGATTTGGGTGCTGAGTGGACAATTTAGTTTGGACAGCCATTTAGACAAGGATTCAAATGTAAGTGGTTTATTTGGGAGTTGGGGGGAACCCCTGACATCAGTGGTGAAGAAGTGGGGCAAGTAAGATCAGGAAGGCAAAACAGCCAATGGAGGGTGAATTATCAACTGAGTTATCGCCATGGGGTAACTAGAAATAATTCCTCAGAGTGTGAAGGACGTGGAGCAGCTGGGGTGGGACTTAATTCCCCATCGCTCTGAAGCTCCCCCGCATAGGTGTGGCCCGAGTGGCCCATGCCAGACAGAGCAGACCTTCAGGCAAATAAAGGCAGGAGTGGACTGTTGCAAGTTGGACAGATGGGAGCTGGAGAGGTAAGAGAGAGAAGATAAGGCAGGGTGCAGGGTGAGTAGCAAAGGTCCACTAGGAACTGCTAAGCACTGAACGTGCAACAGTGGACAATAGAGAAGCATTCCTAAGCTGGTGCTCTTGAGATTGAGACACTTGAATAGGTAAGTGGGATGAGAGCAGTAATAGTGCAGCCTTGGGAGCTAGGGCTCAACGTCTAGCCTGTGAGACCCATGAGGATGGGGACAGCCCCCTACTCATTTTTGAATCCTCAGTGCTTAGGACAGTCACTACTCAATATATGTTTTCTGGCCCAATAACGAACTGTTGGGCACAGCTTTGGGAGGTTATACTCATTGTCTGTTTCCTCACTATAACCCAGCAAGGTAGGTGTGTCCCCATTTTGCAGGGAAGAAAGTTAAGGCACTCATTGTCTCAGCTTTGAAGTATTTTCTCCAAAAGATTTATCTATCCAGTGTACCCCATTACCCGGGCTCTCCCTATTGGAGAACTTAGCTTCTGGATTGTAAATACAACTCTTCCTTGTATATTCTCATGAGCAAGGTTCTTTGGGAGCAGGAACTATGTCTGTTTAGCACTATATGCCCAGCATCCAGGCTAGTGCTGACACATTCTAAATGTGTAAACCTCATTTACAGTGATTATTTTCTGCATGGCTTGAATAAATGAATAAGGTTCAGAGGTGTTGAGTAACGGGACAGGTCACAAATCTAAAAGGTGGTAGTACTGAGGCTTGAACTGCAGTCTGACCCCCAAATATCTCTGGTGCTTTGCTGAGCCTTACACAACTTATCTGTGTGCGGCAACTAGAAGATTTAGGTTGGCTTGAAGACTGCTATTTTAAGATCAAAATAATTGGGCAGGAAGTGTTTAAGAACTTGCCATAAGCATCACCATGAGGGAATGACCAACCTCAACCTGTAGACCTAAAGCAAGGAGAAGGTTCTTCGAGGACAAGGCCCCATTCCCAAAGCCTTGGCTGAACTGGAAAACCTTTAACATTCCCTGTAGATTGATATTCTAGGGTTTTTAACTTAATCTCTAGGTAGAAGTAAAATTGTTCACTCCAGCACCAATAACCAGTTTACATTTTTACCTTACTAAACCAAAATAATTTTAAAATGTTGGATAAAGTATTTAAAGGAACATGAAAGATATATCGGGTACCTTAAGACACTGGGGAAGAGTCATGTCAAACTTCCAGCTTCCACGGAGCCACCTTCAAAACGAAGAGGAAGAGGGACACATCTTCTATCTTAGTTATCACGCTCTTATTCTCTCATTCTTGCAACACCAGAAAGCATCATCCATCCTCCGTGCATGCACTTTCCCTGTTTTCCCAATTCTAAAATGGTCAAGAAGCAGCATAGAATTAATAACTAGGAGCAGGGAGAGGGAATGGGAGGTGAGAGTTGGAATGGACAGGAAATGCTATGGGAGATGGTTATAGACATGACAATGTACACTTCCTGATTTTAAAGTGCTAAAATGTGCCGCCCAAGAAAGTGCTAGAATTGAAAAAAACATGCCAATTAAAGATAAAATCTTCAAGTGATACTAATGGAAAGCCTATATATATTTTGTCCCAATGAGATAATTAGGTATAATTAAATATGGGAACAACAAAAAGGGGTTTCACATAAATTACAGTTTTGAGCAGGTAAATACACATTTTTAAATTTCTTAGAAGCATGTATTTGGATTGGTTTCTGGAAAAACTAAATTGAAAAATTATTCACCAATCAAAAGTTACATATATAATAATGCAGGTGCTTTGACAGTGCAAACTTTCTTGGTCAACATTGAAGTAGGATCTAATTTCTACTTTATCTCTTTTTCTTCTGGAAAAAAATAGGCCTATGCCCCAACAACTTTTAAATGGAAATCCATACAGCCAATCAGATTAATAGCCATTCCTTTGACTGGATCACTGATTCAGAAACTCAAGAAGTGAACATAGGGTTGTATTTCACCTGGTTCTTACCACTTCCATCAGTTCCAGCAGAGTCCTGCCCCAGTACTCACCAATAGGGTAAAAATGGCAACCAAAAGCAAAACTCCCTTGTCAAAGATAGCCCAAGGAGAATCAAGTGCAGGACAAAGACATTGAATATATATATATATATATATATATTCATATATATATATGCCAAACTAAGAGAGGGTGTGAAAGAGAAAAGATGTGGCCTGGGTACTGTTGCCCCTTCTTCTGAGCCCTAATCAGTCCCAGAGCCAGATGCAGCCTCAGAATATTTCTTCAAAAAGCCATGCCAGGCAATTGGAGACAGAACTTAAGAGAGAATTCTTTGCTTCCATCACCGAGGACCGAATATTTCAAGCCATAGATATCTCCCATATATATATTGGATCCTGGCTACACTGAGCTATTCACCCATCCTTGAGTAGACCAGGCATCTTCAAGCATCTGTGCCTTTATTATGTTCCCTCTACCTGGAAATATCTTTTATCTACTCTTCTACCTGTGGAAACTTTTTTTTTTTTTTTAAGATTTCATTTATTCATTTGTGGGAGAACATGTACAAGCCAGGGAGAGGCAGAGAGAGCAGCAGACTCCCCGCTGAGCAGGGAGCCCGAGTGTGGGGCTCAATCCCAGGACCCTGATATCATGACCTGAGCTGAAGGCAGATGCCCAACCGAGTCACCCAGGCGCCCTGGAAAACTTATTTATTCTTTGTGGCTCTATCCAGTAATTGCCACTTTAGTTTGAAATTGTTTATTTCATGAGTTCTAGCTGGAGGGACCTGGGATATCTAAAAAAATTGAGCAAATAATGACAATCATTACCATCATTACATCCAACATTTAAATATACAAAAATTTCAGTCCAAAAACAAAGCTCAAGAGGGAAATGAACTGGAATTCTTTTCCCTACCTCTTTTTCAAAGTTCTAGCTTCTACTACAAAGTGAGTCAATATAAAAAAGTTTAGTGTAAACCTGAGTTTCTACTGTAAAATGTTTGTTTACCAAGGACAGAAATGGAATTATAACACCATTTTGTCCTGAGCCACAGAAACTTCTATCAAAGCAAAACTCCTTCACAAAAATTTTAGAAGTTAGCAAATGCTCTAGGTCAGTTGTTCCCAAGGCTGGGCTGATTCCCAGGATCATAAGGGGAACTCCTAAAGAATATACATTCCTTGGCCTCATCTTGGCCTGTATCTTTGGGAAGTGAGCCCCAAGAACTAATTAGTTGTATAAAAGTTGTCCTAGGTGAAATGAAGAACCACCAGGCTAACTATCAGCAAGTATTCCTTACAAGTATACGTCAAGGAACAGAAATATCTGGACACACAATATTTGAATTCCACTGAAGCAGGGACAATACTGGCAGTCAGTTTACTCATTTTGCTCTTTTGGCATTGTAGTTATGGGAGAAAAAGGACTGCTCAAAATTTCAACAAATTTCTGAAAAACAATATATTGTCTTAAATGTCTCATGGTTGTCTTCAGCCTGAACAAGAAAATATTTGGGGACAGAACTTTGTTCAAATTCAATTTGATTTATCCAACCATGAATAATCATTTTGTTTGTTTTACACGTCCATTGCCAAAAGAGCTTGGTTTTTGAGACCTCTGCTATACAATGACCTCATCTTCAATAAGGAAAGAACTTGGATATGTTCAAAGAAATATAAACTTCCAGTAATAATAGCTCTAAAAATGAGAATCCCTGCATATCTAATTTACAACTGGTTTGGGGCTACCAATTCATACCATCGGGTAAGATTCCAATCTGTTAGACTGGATTAGTTGGATATTTTCTGACAATTCTCTGCTACTCTATGGGTAATCCATACATATCTGGTGATTAGTCTCCTGTTAATATGTTCTATTTATGCATGCTCCAGTGGGAACTAAGGGACGTTGTGGATACAAATGAATGAACTGACTCAAACCCTAATAAGGAAATAAGAGGAGGAATGCACTGGACTCTCAACCACCACATCAAGTTCAACATAGCCTTGTATATCCTGTGGCTGGCAGGTAATAAGAAGGACACCTATATGCATTAAGCAGAATATCTGAAATTCCTTTGAAAAACATTCATTTTCATGAATCTCCTTTCTGTGCTCTTTGTTTGCATTTGAGAAGTAAGCTTAGAGACAAAGTACAAACTCAGAGTCCATCGAAGCAAAGGTAGACTCCCACCATCTTTGTAATGAGTCCATTTGCTTTGCCGTTAAGATAAATTTGACAGTCCACATGGAAATTAATTTAAAAACCATGGCTTGCTAGGCATGGGAAATACAATGCTAACGTTTGCTGGGTTTCCCACATAAGAATTTACAACTTTTACAACACATTACTTTTGGAATGAAGTTGCAATACTCACATTCAACAGGGCAACTGAGACTTTCCATGTTTTCTCTGCAGATATGGGGTGCAGATAACATCAAAAGGGAGAGAATTTCTTGGAGCAGGTTGTCTTTTCCAAAACTGGCCACATTGATATTCCAGTTCCTACATTCTTGCAGAACTTGCCAACCAAGAGAGGTAGAGTCTAATTTTCTTCTTGGACCTGGGTGATGCTTTGTGACTACCTTAAGAACTTGGAGAAAAGATGTGTGACTTCCAAGTTTAGGGCATAAAAGCTTGAACCTGGCTCTCTTTTGGGACACTCACCTTTGGGAGACAAGCAGCCATGTGGCGGGGCCACATGGAGGTCCCAGCCCACAGCCAGCATCTACTGCCAACACATGAGTGCCCCTTCAGATGCTTCTACTCTTCAGTCTTCCAATTCTATTTCTTCACCCCACCTGATGCCAAGTAGAAGGGACACAATGTCCCCACCATGCTCCATCAAAATTGCAAACCTGTGAGCAAAATAAACATGATCATTGTCTTAAGCTACTGTTTTGGGTGATGTGTTCTACAGCAATTGGAATACTTACCTTCTGTCAATACTTTGTCACTTTTCACCAGGAAAACAATTTAACAATCATTTAGCAATGAATCTCATAACAACTGCCTTATATCCACTATGCATTTGGTCACAATTGGGCCCACATCAGGTGAAATCTGTGCTTGTTCCACTTGGACACTGTAAATTCTTTCTTTAAAAGTTAAAAAATACATACTCATTAAAATTCACATTTTACAGATTTTTCAGTAAAAAAGAAAAGGAAAAAGAACATCCTACATCTTTCTGAGGTTATCATACCAAATCCAATGTGCATCTTTCAGACCCTTCTCCACACACATACCCTTGGCCCATCTAAAGACTTTCCCCGGGTAGGTCATGAATTTCTTATTATTATGTTGTTAAATCAAGACTAATGATGCTAATTATGATCTAGCATATGATCATATGCTAGATATGATGATGTTTGCCAGTTTCTATGTGCCAGGCAATGAGGAACATGGGTAGCTTGACAGTAGCTGTGGTGGGAATATTTTAGTTCTGATTTTTCATATTTACATTGGCAAGTATGAAAAATCAGAGCTTTTGCTTCGGGGAAAACCAGTTGTTAAATTTACCATCAGGGACCATATTTCTCTTTGCTTATTAATACCTCTCCAGCACCTGGGCCAGTGTCCAGCACTTGGAAGGCTCTCAATAAATGTTGAATGAATGAATGAATGTTCTAATCACAGGCTCAGACAGTATTCCAGCTGAGGCACTTCTAAAATGAATGGGACCTACCAGTTTTGTGAACAAGCATGCTTCTAAAATGCAACTTCTATTTATTCTTTGTTTTCAGGCATTTCCTTATTTGGATAATTACTCTCTCTCTGGGTGGCCAGAGCCAGTGACCCAGCTGAAGTGTGCAATTCACAGGGAGGCACAGTTCCCCAACAGTCAACTTATCATGGTGAAAATTAAGTCAAACCTCACAATCAAAAAGTACCATCCTTCTTATCTCTGTTGCCAGCTTTTGTCATACTCAGATTTTTTTTTAGGAGTGACCTAGTCAAGAAAAAAAAAATTAGAAAGTACAGAGAAGTGCACACGTACTGTGGGTGTGTGTGTGCGTGCACATGTGGGATAGGTAGATCTTTTTGGAGAAATCTACATACATAATAGATATCTTCCTTAAATAGAAATGGTGGGAGGGTTGGTGGGAGACGGGGAAGAAAGTGTGAATAATGAAATATAAAAAGGAGAGCAATCCAGGCCTTATCTGTCAGAGGAAGGAGATCATATCTGCAAAATGGTTGCCTCCAAAATTAAATATAAGCAACATATGTGCTTTAGGCCTAAAAGACCCAAGGCAATGTGGTAATGATCAGGTGGGGGACAAAGGCTTTCCCAAAGAGCAAAACTACAGACTATTTAACCATCATAACCTGCTCCAGGTTTTGAGTCACTGATAATAATCATGATTTGTAGAATGATAAATGTCTACATGGCACTTCCCCAAATTCCATCTCTCTTTAAAATGCAAATGCTTTCCAGAGCAGATTTATCTTTTCAATTAACCTTCTTGTGGGTTCCAAGAAAATATTTGGGGGCAGGCTAGATATGAAGAGATGAAGGATAGTTGTATTGGTATTGATTTACTCACAGATTATTCTTTAAGGCTGATACCTTCCAGTGTTGGGCTAACAAATGGGCATCTAGTGGAATTCTTTCTTCTTTCCTTTTTTTCCCTAAATTTCAGAAAATGTTAGGAATCTTAGTTCTGTTTCTATGAAAAAAAACTCATTAGGGTATTATAAATATGGGTGTGGCTTTGGTGAAAGTTATACATCACCATTGGAAAGCAGATAGTCTCTGATTCCTTGCTTTTGAGACCTATGAGTAATTTCCACCACTAGTAATTTGCACCATCATTCTGGTAGCATTTCCAAAAGCAAGGCTCTGGAGAAATTCACAGAAGTCAGGAAAAGCTTTGTATTCCCCCTGTAGAAATCAAAGAGGATGAATTTAAGGGAATGTCTAAGAAAATTTCTAGCATTACAAAGCCTTTTCACGTCAGCAAAATAAATTAATTTACCAAGAAATCTTAAATGGAAGAGTAAAAAAGTCAAAGCAGGGCACAATGTGAAAGGCCAACGATGAGTCAATACTAGAAAACCTGTTAGTATAAATTAGAAGTCAAAAGAGAAAAACAACTTTCTCCTCCTCCTAATTCTATCCCCCTTCCCATCCCTTCCCAAAGAATTTATCCCCAAAGCTATCAGCTGGGTCCCAGAAGAAGTGGGAGTGTGTTGGAACTTGAGTGACGTGAACATAGCACGCATGTGGAGAGGGGAGGGGTGGTGGACGGAAGATTGGTTTTACCCAAGAGTTTGATCACACAGGTAACTATCTTCAAGATCATAGAAGGCAGGTTTTTTACTCCTAGGGAAGGGAGTTACAAACGTGGAAAACGAGAAAACTAGAATAAACCTAGGCAGTTGAACTGGAGTAAAAGTATCACTATAAACTCAGCATTTTCTATAGATGGATGGATTGTTGGACAAATAAGAAAAATCACATGGACATAAGCATACATACATTTCTCTAGCTCAGTCCACTAAGGGGCTCAGAAGCACTGATACCCAAAGAGTAGTCAACATGCCAAGATGACTGAGGACTCTGGCAGAAGTACAGAATCAACAGCCAAGTAGGTAACAGGCCCATCTTACTCTCTGATGTTCAGACAAAGCTTGGAATGCTGTGCTCAACTAGGAGAGGTACACTTAAAGCACAGATTCCCGGGACAGTCCAGAGGGTCCTATGATTAACAGCCAAAGGAGAGGAGGAGATTTAATCTACTGAAAAGAAGAATTAAGAGAAATATGAAAATGCTCTTCAAATTTCCACATGGCTGTCATGAGAAAGAGAGATCAGGTTCATTATCTCAGGGATTCCAAAAATAGAACAAGGACCAATGCACAGAAATTTCCCAGATAGCATCTAGGGACAAGAAAAACTGTTCCAACAATTAGACTCGCTCCACAGAGGAGGAGGAGGCGAAGCATAAAGGAGATGATAGATCTGCCCTCAGAGGCTTCTAATGACTTATCAGGCTGTTGCAATGTAGACGGCTGCCATGGCAAGAACTGTACTAAACTGACTCTGAAGACCTTGCAACTCAAACTGAGGTCTGTGGACCAGCAGCACTGACATTACCCGGAAGCTGGATAAAAATACAGATTGTTGCTCCCACCCTTAGACCTATGGATTAGAAGTGGCATCTTCACAGGATTGCTGCATGAGTCATATGTACATTAAAGAGTGAGAAGCAGATTAATATCATCTGATAAATGATTCTACAGTTGGCCTTTGAACAATGGGGTCAAGGGCCCCAACTCTCCACAGTCGAAATCCATGTATAATTTCTGACTCCCCCAAGACTTCACTGATAGCCTGGAAGCCTGACTGATAACATAGTCAACACATATTTTGTATGTTATATGTATTATATAGTGTATCCTTAAGGTAAGCTAGAGAAAATGTTAAAAGGTTAAGAGCAAATACATTTACAGTACTGTCTTGTAAACAAATCTGCACATAAGTGGACCAGTGCAGTTTAAACCTGTGCTGTTCAAAGGTCAATTGTATTCCTTATTGGTGAGAAGTAGTCTCATTAAAAGTCAGTGATAAATGGGTGTGAATGCAGTCATGTATACTCTCCTTGGACCTGACGAATGAGAATGTATCAAAAGCTCTCACCTTCCTCCAGGTTTCTCATTCATTAGGTCTATACTCTAGGGAGCAATTTTAGGCTGCTGTCCACTCTCTAGGACTATGTGCAGAAGGGAAAATGGCATTCTGCCTTCCAAGCAGTGTATGTGAATGCATTAGTCCTATCTTCCAGGATGGTCTTATTCTTGTAGAGACATAAACTTCCAACTTTCAACAGCTGTTAGTCCAAAACCTCAAAGAGTGGAAACATAACCAGACCTCATGCATAAGACAAGAACCAGGGCATTTAATGACTACTGGATGTTAAATGTTTATCATCTTCCAGTCCCCAACTCATAATACCTTAGGCTGGGGACCAACCAGGGGATACCCCTGTGTTTACTGCAGCATTATTTACCATAGCCAAGTTATGGAAGCCTTTTAGGGCTCCTCCCCAACACCACACTTTCCCTGGTTTTCCTGTTACCTCAATCCAGAATATCCTCAAGATGTGTCCTTACCGGGATAATATCTGCACCAACTTTAAGACTCAGCTGGGGATGAATTCACTCCTCCAGGCAGCACTCCTTCACCTCCAGGTTGGATGACATGTTGCCCCTCTAGGTTCCCACGACACCCTGTATCACTGGAGACCAGCGCTGTCCAATAGAAATAAAATAGGAGCCACATAAATTTAAGTTTTCTAGTAGTACAGTTTTTAAAAATTAAAAGGAAACAGGTGAAATTAATTTTTTTTTTTTTGGTAAGGAAGAAGTTAAACAATCACTATTTCTAGATGACATAACACTATACATAGAAAACCCTAAAGATGCCACTAAGAAACTATTAAAAGAATTCTATAAAGTTGCAGGATACAAATACCTAGAAATCAGTTGCATTTCTATACACTAATAAGGAGGTAGCAAAGAGTGAAATTAAGAAAATAATTCCATTTACAATTGCAACACCAAGATAAAATACTTAGGAATAAATTTAACCAAGGAAGTAAAAACCTATACTCTGAAAATCAGAAAACATTGATGAAAAAATTGAAGATGACACAAACAAGTGGAAAGATATTCCATGCTCATGGATGGGAAGAACCAATATTCCCTTCTGCCCATAGTCCTAAAGAGTGGACAGCAGCCTAAAATTGCTCCCTAGAGTATAGACCTAATGAATAAGAATCCTAGAGGAAGGTGAGAGCTTTTGATACGTTCTCATTCATCGGGTCCAAGGAGAGTATACATGACTGCATTCACACCAATTTATCTATCACTGACCTTCATGGGTTTGGGTAGTCCATACTACCCAAAGCAATCTACGGATTCAGTGCAATCCCTATCAAAATACCAACAGCATTTTTCACACAACTAGAACAAATAATACTAAGATTTGTATGGAACCACAAAAGACCCCAAATAGCCAAAGCAATCTTAAGAAGAACAAACCAAGAGGTACCACAATCCCAGATTTCAAGATCTATAAAGCTCTAGTATTAAAACAGTATGGTACTGGCACAAAAACAGACACATAGATCAATGGAACAGAATAAAGAGCCCAGAAATACACCCACTATTATAGGGTCAATTAATCTACAACAAAGGAGGCAAGAATAGACAATGAGGAAAAGACAGTCTCTTCAATAAATGGTGTTGGGAAAACTGGACAGCTACATGCAAAAAATGAAACTGGACCACTTTCTTATATCACACAAAAAAATCCCCCAACAAAACACAAACTTCAAAATGCATTAAAGACCTAAATGTGAGACTGGAGACCATAAAACTCCTAGAAGAAAATATAGGCAGTCATCTTTTTGACATTGGTCTTCGCAACATTTTTCTAGGTATGTCTCCTCAGGCAAGAGAAACAAAAACAAAAACTATTGGGACTACACCAAAATAAAAAGCTTTTGTAGAGTAAGGGAAACCATTAACAAAACAGAAAGGTGAACTACTAAATGGCAGAAGTTATTTGCAAATGATATATCTGATAAGGGTTAATATCCAAAATATAAGAACTTATGCAACTCAGCACCAAAAAAACCCAAATAATCTGATTAAAAATGGACAGAAGATACGAAGAGACATATTTCCATAGAAGACATATAGATGACCAACAGACACGTGGAAAGATGCTCAACAGCACTCATCATCAGGGAAATGCAGATCAAAACCACCTTGTATCTGTCAGAATGGCTAGAATCAAAAAGGCAAGAAATAGCAAGTATTGGTGAGGACGGGTAGAAAAAGGAACACTAGGGCACTGTTGTAGGGGATGTAAATTGGTGCAGCCACTGGGGAAAACAGTATGGAGGTTCCTCAAAAAATTAAAAATAAGAACACCATATGATCGAGTAATTCCACTGCTGGGTGTTTACCCAAAGAAAAAGAAAACAATAATTTGAAAAGATATAAGTACCCCTGTGTTTACTGCAGCATTATTTACCATAGCCAAGTTATGGAAGCAATCCAAGTGTCGACTGAGATTAATGGCTAAAGAAAATGCAGTGCGTGTGTGTGCACGTGCATGCGTGCGTGTGTATGTTTATATAGCAATAATATGGATGGTCCTAGAGAGTATTATGCTAAGTGAAATAAGTCAGAGAAAGACAAATACCATGATTTCAGTTATATATGGAATCTACAAGAAAGGAATAAACAAACAGCAGAAACAGTCCCATAAATAGAGGGAACAAACTGATGGTTGCCAGAGGGCAGGGTGGTAGGGGGATGGGCAAAATGGGTGCAGGGGAGTGGGAGGTACCGGCTTCCAGTTACGGAGTGACTGTGTCACAAGGATAAAAGGTACAGCACAGGGAATGGAGTCAGTGGTATTGTGAGAGCATCCTATGGGGACGGGTGGAAGCTGTATGTGTGGCGAGCACAGCGTAATTCACAGACTTGTTGAATCCACTATGTTGTGCACCTGAAATTAATGCAAGATCGTGTGTCAACTATACTTCAATAAAAAAATATATTTTATTTAACCCAGTATACCCAGAATTTCAACAGGTAATCAATACTATACTGGCTATTATTAGGTATTTTACATTCTCTTATCAAACCAAGTCTTAAAAATCCCACGTGTATTTTACACAGAGAACACATCTCAATTTAGTCGCAGCAGCTACACGTGGCCAGTGGTGACTATATTGGACAGGCCAGCCCTAGACTGGAAGGATGTGGGGCACCTGGGTGGCTCAGTCCATTGAATGTCTGACTCTTGATTTCGGCTCAGGTCATCTCAGGGCTGTGAGATCGAGCCCGTCGATCTGAAAATGCACACACACGCACTGCATTTTCTTTAGCCATTAATCTCAGCCTGAACCCCATGGGGTTCAGCACTGGGTATGGAGCATACTTAAGATTTTAAGATTCTCTCTCCCTCTGCCCCTCCCCCTCATGTGCCTGCTCTATCTCTAAAAAAAGTAAATAAATAAAAATAAAAACCTGACATCATCTACTTATAGGTTTGTCTTCCCTACTAGAAGGTAAGCTACCCAAGGGCAAGGTCAACATGTTACTTACAGTATTATCAGTGTCCTATCAGTGCCCAGCATGTACTGAGCGCTCAGTGAATGCTTGTTCAACTAAAGTGACCGGAGGGTATTCTGAGAGAAGGTGGAATTTCAGCAGCTGCTCACAGAGCAGCTTACATGTACTTACAATAACTGTAATAGAAATAATAGCTAATACCTTGGTCTTGGACCATGTTCTGCGCTCCTTAGATGCATTATCTCATTCAGTCAGTTCACAACAATGCCAAAAATTATGTATCATTAGTACTTCTACTTTATGGATAAAGAAACTTGCCCCAAATCATACAGCTGCTAAGTGGAAGAATGAGGACTTATGGAAATCATTCCAGAAAAACAAAGGACATGGCCACTAAGCAGACACACATACACACCACAATAAGTGAAAAGTTGAAAAGAAACTGTATTTGCAGACCTGCCCCAGTAGGTAAGCCTTCTCAGGACTCACCTCTACCAGCCCCACAGCATCTTTTCTGGGGCTCAGGGACCTGCTGAATGTTGCTTTATACAGGGTGGACCTTTTTCCAAGGGTTTGAACGAGCCCTTCCTGTCTTGAAATTTAATATCTTTCGTATTTGTCTTCTGAGTTGTGTACATTCTGCCTGTGTTGTCAAACCCACAGAGCTTTTCAGCAAGGACTTTAGTGAGTAAAGTCACCTTTCCAGTGCATCTTCTCCCAGGATATGGAGGGACAGAGGGACATAAACTTCTTCCCTGCCCCTCTGTCTCCAGAGAGTCCTGCAGCCCCGCTGGGCAAGTGACTCGCCTATGGGCAAGGGAAGTAATCCTTGCTGGTATGTGTGCTCTTGTTTAAGGCAACTAGGCTGAACTTAAGAAAAATGATGCAGGGGCGCTTGAGTGGCTCAGTCGGTTAAGCATCTGCCTTCAGCTCATGTCATGATCCCAGGGTCCTGGGATCGAGCCCCATGTCAGGCTCCCTGCTCATTGGGGAGTCTCTTCTCCCTCTCCCTCTGCCCCTCCTGCCTCGTGCTCTCTCTCAAATAAATAAATAAAATCATTTTAAATGAAGCAGATTTCAAATTTGGTGGGGGTTGTGAGGGGATGGGTGGTGATGTGTGTACAAAAATTCCATTATCTCTAAGCTACAGGAACCAGAACCACATCTGGCAAAGGAAATAAAGCCAGAGAGGTAAGGAAAGAATAGATTAGGAGAAGCCTCGGAAACAGGCAGCCGCATTTGGACTTCGCATGGTGGGAAATGAAGATCCCTGGAGGGTTTCTGAGCCTGGGAGTGATGTGATGAAAACAGTGATTAAGGAGGATGAAGTGCAAGCAGGACAAATTGAACGGAAGGGCTGCAATCTGAGAGGAGGCAGGCATCCAGGCCCGGGGAGGTGCAGAGAGCAAGACAGAAAGCAAGCCTATTAAGGAAGGAATCCACGATTCCACATAAATTAACATCTGTCCACCCCGAAGTCACTTTACTACCAACTCACTACCAGTTTTTTTTTTCTCCTTTTCATGACCTTACTATATTTGGGAAGGCAAAAATAAACCTGAGAGGAGCTGAATAGTTTCATTAAACTGATAATAAAATTTCATCTCTGTGACTAGAATGGTTTAACTGTGTGTGTACCCTGCTGAGCAAATAAGCTTCATTGTGAGCACGTGGAACGGTCTGTGGGGTCAGAAATGACACTCAGAAAAATGTATATTATGTCCTTACTCACAGAATAAACAAGCACGATGAAAACAATGATTTTTTAGAGCAGCCTCATGTGGATAAAGCCCATAGGACAGAACAGAAATGGCTGTCCCCAAGGTGGTGGCCCCAGCTGGAGAGTATCCCAAGCTCACTGCCCTTCTGGACTGAGAGCCCCCTGTCCATGTCAGCTCCCACCGTGGCGGGAGGGACAGGCCGACTCTTAGGTGGGCCAGCCCTGCTTGCCAGAACCCTACCCCCCTAACCTCCACATTCTTTGGTTCTGGCTGCAAGTTTAAATGTCCAGAGACTCAAAAGTTATTTTCATTGAAGTTTAGATCTGGAAAGAGCCTTGGAGAACATCTAAACCCATAGTTTATGAATATTTTCAAGCTGCACACTTTTTTTTTTTTTTTTTTACAAATTAAATGGAAATACAATGGAGAAATATTAACTTGGAATCCTCTGGAAGGAACTCTGGGGAAAAGCCCAGGATTCCATCTACTCATTCTGTCCCCTTCCCTGTTCTAACCCCACCCCCAAGTTACACACTTTGTGGCAGACCCCGAAGTCTTCCCCAGGACCCGGGAGTTGAAGAGAAAGCAGTCTGCAAAATACTGTGAAGTCTAGTATGTTTTCTGTTTTGTTTTGGCATCTTGTGACAGGTGAAAAGTTAAAACCCAGAAATTTAAAACAGGACTTCCATTTCCAGCCACAGAACACAGGAAATGACCTAAAAGCCTCCTTGTAGAATGCTAGAAGGCCGCCTTCTTTAGCTAGAATGCTAGCTCAGTGCAACTACCCATTTCAGTGCCTGACATGAACTCACAAAGACATAAATTCCTCAATTTGAAACTGGGTATAACGTATGACCCAGCAATTCCACGTGTCCCAGAACAGTGTTTATCCAATTCTTCATGGAGATGGGTCAGAGGATCACTTCAGTACATTGTAACCAGCAATTTTTTTTTTCCAGGCCACACTCAACTGATTGTAACTAAATAGAAAATAAGGGTATTATTTTGAGAAACTTTTATTCCACATCTATGTGTACACACATAATTATAACCCATATGCTGGGTGTCCGTGTAAAGTGTACCTTTAATGGTGGTATAGACAAAACAGTTTGAAAAAAATGCTATCTTAGAGAAACTTTTGCATGTTACTATAGGAAATGTATAAGAACACTCACTGAAGCATTGTTTATAATAGTGTAAAATTAGAAGCAACCTAATTGTTCATCAACAGTAGGATAGATAAAACATTTGGTGGTCCGGGCGCCTGGGTGGCTCAGTTGGTTAAGCGACTGCCTTCGGCTCAGGTCATGATCCTGGAGTCCCGGGATCGAGTCCCGCATCGGGCTCCCTGCTCGGCGGGGGGTCTGCTTCTCCCTCTGACCCTCCCCCCTCTCAAGCTCTCTCTCTCTCTCATTCTCTCAAATAAATAAATAAAATCTTTAGGGCGCCTGGGTGGCTCAGTTGGTTAAGCGACTGCCTTCGGCTCAGGTCATGATCCTGGAGTCCCGGGATCGAGTCCCGCATCGGGCTCCCTGCTCGGCAGGGAGTCTGCTTCTCCCTCTGACCCTCCCCCCTCTCATGCTGTCTGTCTCTCATTCTATCTGTCTCAAATAAATAAATAAAATCTTTAAAAAAAAAAAAATTTGGTGGTCTGTCCATGAAACATTATACCACAGAGCAGTTAAAACGAATGGGCCAGACCTATGTTGCTGAAATCTAATGCTCAATTGAAAAAAAAAAAGAGCAACAGAACATATAGTGTGCTTCCATTTACTTCAAGTTTAAAAACATGCAGGATGGCCATACTTACTGTTGAAAGATGCAGGTGTCCAGAGAAGAAGTGTGAAAGTATGAAGGTTTGGGACAGTGTCTGTCTCTGGGGTGGGAGGAAGGGAAATGGGATCAAGGAGAAATCCACCAAGTACTCAACTAGGTCTGCAGTGAGCTGGTCAAAATGTTAGGACTGTTGCCTATAACTCATTGGTGGCATTGAGTTTTGTTACTGCATTTGCCCTATTTTGTTGTTGTTGTTGTTGATTAAAAAATGTATGTCTAAGTCACGTGTACTCACCGAGACCAGATGGCTGATTGGTAGAGTCATCTGGAAGAAATCCAGGGCAGGACCCTGATGATTCCCAATCCAGTCGTCTTTCCACACAGCTCCCAGTTCATGATCTGTTTGGAAATGAAGGATTTGTATCATTTTGGTCCTAATCTTAATCATTTATTTTTACCTGAGGGATATTGTTCCCCACAGCCCACCGAGGCCACATCTGCTCTAGCCAGAAATAGCACAAAGCCCACTCGCTCTGTGAGGGTGAACTGTTGCTTCACAGTTTGTGTTTTGGCTCTGTTTTCCAGCCTCGCTTGTGCACTGCAAATAAAGAAGAAGAAGAAAAAAAAAGTGCTGAGCCACTGAAAGGTCAGGAGAGAGATGATCTAAACAAAAAATCAGAGGCAAAAAAAAAAGAGAGAGAGGGGAGAGGGAGAATCGGTTTTGCTTGAGGGACTACACAAATTCACAGGAAGTGATCAAATTAAAGTCAGAATATCGCTGAGAAACTATAAAACAAACATGGGGCGTATTTTAGATGACAGGACTCAGTTGAAATAGTAGCCTTTTTCATAGCCTTTCAGCACAAATACACAATCTAATGGGAGTGGGTTCATTAACTTTTTTCCTAGTCTACAAAAACCAGACAAAGGTTACCTTGCCAAGGACTGGAGAATCGTCGGCAGGGAATTTTTGTGCTTTGGAAAAGTTCGGAGCAGTGGTTTTTATCAGTGGATCTTTCATACTCTTCAAGTTACATGAGAGGCTCTGACTGCTCTTTTTTTCTGGAGGCATAACTTCCAGGCAAGCTTTAGCTTCTCAGGTGGGTGAGCCAAAGCCTTCTGCTGCTGGAGGGGAGACAGTGACAGAGAAGAAGATACCCTTGTAGTAGAAGCTCTGCAAGAGCTCACTCTCCGGAGTCAAGCTGTGAACTGTACATGAGTGTATCTTTATATACTTCTCACCCTGGGACGCCTACCAGTCTTCAGGAACTGTGAACATCATCTTTTCGTACCGCTGGAGAAAACTCAGATCTGTGACAGAATTCCTTCCGTTGTGTGGAGAGCAAACAAAGCAGCCAGTGACATTTACTGAGTGTTTCCTCTTCTGAATGCTTTACCTCTTCTAGTTTGCAACCATCTTCCCAGGAAGGTACTAGAGCTGGCCCCATTTTACAGATAGGAACATTGAGACAGCGCAAGGTTAAGTGATAGATGTCTCAGGTCACTCGGAGTGAGGGCTGGAGCCAGGATTTGGACAGAGCTGGAGGTTCTAACGGCCTGGGCTTTTATGTGCCATTGTGTCCCGGAGGAGGTGGCATTTAAAGTAAGTAGCTGACAGCATCGAGTTACGTTAGGATCCATGGGGACCCTGCCTCAGATAGAGGGGCTCTAAGAGGTGAGAGTGGTTCGCTAAAAATCAGAATCCGCTCCTTAGAGGTCCTAGCACCCAAGGACACCTGCTGTGGACCCCACCCTGCCTAAGTTACAGCTAATTTCTGCTTTGCCCCAAAACCCCAGAGGACAAAGGCGGAGATGGACTTCGGAATGCTATCAAATAAAAACGGGAAGGCCTAAGCTTGAGTTCGGTTTTGCCACTTACTAAATGGATTCATTTCCTTCACTTTCCTTGTCTGTTAAATGAGAAAAATGAATGCCCATTACATAGGATGGTGATTCAAACCAGACAGAGGAAGAAAGAACTTTATACACATCGGTGATACGTTTTTTTTTTTCTTTGCTCCATAAGTCAAGGCAGCACGTTACAACAAAATGCTGTAAACATCTGCGAAAGATCCATGTGGATCCCAAAGAGACTTTCTCTGTATTGTGAATGCTAACCTTGGTCAGTGCACTTCCCCCTTTCCCCTGTCTATAAGAGGAGGGGTATTAACACCGGAGTGTCTTCCAATTTTGATATTTTGTGGTTGGTTTGGTTCCAGATCCAGGAGAAGCGAACCAGGGTTTTGAAATGGTAGTTTGGGTATTTTCAGGCCAGCTTGCCCTCCCAAGGTGAACACTCATCACATTTCTGGGGTCCCATTCATGACACAGGACCCCAGAGGCAATCTAACAGCCCAGGGATATAATTACAGTGGTTCTAACTGCCCCCCAACTTCAAGTGTTAGGGAAAAGAGAACTGGATTCTCTACTGGAACTAGGTGAATACCTGCTTCAGCAGCTACATGCTCAAAGTCAGGGTGGGGGAATCCCACACTTTTGTTCTGGGTAATGCCAGATACATGAGGGAATGCAGGGCAGGAGGACTTTTGAGGGAGTTTCTAGCCTTGTGACCTCATGTGACCACCTCACTGATAAGTATCACTTGAACATGTCAGAGATGACCAGTCATGACAGGCTGGGAGTCATAGCCAGGGGTACAGCCAGACTTCAGTGTGGGGACTACAACTCAAGTGGGTGACAGGGGCGTGGTGCCGAAGCAGCTGGGAGCCTGCTGAACGCTCTGTCAGTCCTTCCAGAATGGACCTGACGCCATTCCAAAGGAAGCCAGATCCCTGGGGAGCCTCAGTGCTGTGGCTGAACATGATGGGTCCATTCTCGAAGGGAAAGGGGGTCCATCACCCTGACCACCGTCTATTACGCGCAGATCTGCCCAAGCTGTCCCATTCCCTGGGCTCTCACAGCCTGAAGCAGAGGATAGGAAAAGTCACCTGCACAACAGGAAGCCCTGTCAGTATCCTCGAGATACATCACGAGCCCATGAGCCAAGTGTCCGGAACGGTTACAACGAGATGAGCATGACCAGCCTCCCGCATCCTTTCGCAGTGGACGCCCATTAATGATTCATTCTGTGTCTCTAGCCAGCCATGCTCCTGCCTGCCCAGTCCTCCCCAGCCCTCCCCAGAAGCCCAGGCCTTGTCTACCACAGCTGGCTCCCTTCTGTCACTCAACGCTCATGTCAACTATCACCGTCACAGGCCACAGGCACACCTCCCACAACTCCCCATCGCAATGCTCCTTTCCTATCGCACACAGGACTCCTCATTATCTCAGATTATTCACTTCATTTATTATTGTTTATTGTCTACTCTCCCTGGAGGGAAATGAGAGCATTTTCTCTGTCTTCTCCAGTCTATCCCAAGCCCCAGAAAAAAATATCTAGCAGAGAACAAGGGATCAATAAAATTAGTGCAATTAGTTATTTAACGAGTTGATTAATTCTATCCAGGACAGGTGTGGACTGGCACAGAGAGGGCTTGGTGAGATCTCAAGGCACCAAGGTGGCTTTCATAGACACTTTTGAACACCGCCCCATTAAAGATCTGAGACTCCCACTCTGATCGTCGGGGCTGGCTCCCGACATCTATATTTATACCACATAATTTTTCACCTAGAAATGATTTTGGTTGCAAGTATATTATATATAGTGCACTGTGATTTCAAGAACCAGGGTATCATTCTTCTCAATATGTACAAATCAGGAGGTGTTCGGTCCAGGCTCAACCACAGAAGGACCTTGCTCTTTCTCCTTTGCACCCTCTGTTCCTAGAACACAACTTTCTTCTGGTGCTCGTCACGTCAAGGTCCCAACATGGCTTTTGCGTCACTGGGCATCATGTCTGAATGCCGGAGAAGGGGCAAAGCAAAGGAAGAAAGAACCATGCCCAATGATTCTGTCATTCCTTTTTATTGAGAAGACAAAAGCTTTCCCAGCATCCATATCCACCCTCCTCCTATTTATAGCTCCTACATTTGTCCAGGGTCACATGGCCGCCCCTAGGCTAGTTACTGACAACAGGAAATTAAATAACTATTTGAGACTGTCACGATTCATCCCCTGGGACTGAAGAGAGGGCTTGAGATCAAGGCATTGCCACTCTCTCCTGAACACACAGAGGTGTCCTATCTAAATGGACGAGAGTGGACATTTACCCCAAACGAGAGCTAAGACTCACAGAGACTGAAGTTACAGACATATCCCTTGAGCTGTCATCTTCTGAACTTTCTTAAGATTTGGCTGTTCACATTGTTTAAATTCCATTGCATGCTCAAATATCTACCCAAAGTACCTTTTCTTCTTAAGCTAGCTCACGGTAGTTTCTGTTATAAAACCAAAGGGTCTTTGTTATAGGAACATGTAACTACCAGCATCCTGCACAGCTAGTCAGGCTGCTGTAGGGAGTCGGACAGTCCGTTCACATCTCCCTCAGCAGTGACATGGCCCTTTGTACCCAACACTCTGCTCCTCCCGAGGTGACAAACACTTAGACATTATGTCATCAGCCTGACAACGTCCTCCTCGCCCCCCTTTCACCTTCAGACAGCATTTGCTGAGGTCCCAAGTGTCCAGGGAAGCCTGCTGGGTCTAAGGGCCTGCCTGATGACAGAGGGATGCAGGGCTATGCATCCTGACCAGTGGAGGAATGGAACTGAGAGAGGTCACATCACAAATCCATGATAAAGGCCAAAAACCCTTCCTGCATTCTGACTCTTTTCTCAATTCTTTTTTTCTTTTTTAAGCCATCTGATTATCCAGGACACACACACACACAGGCATCTACACCCTCACAATTAAGAAAGAACCTAATGAGCGAAAAGCCTGGCTAGCCCGGAGTACTGTTCCATCCCTGCCAATAGCCACAAGGAATCTTTTGTGGGTGATTCTAAGGACTGTCACACAAGTGTCTATAGGGATATCTCTGCAGTCTTGCTCGACCATCTATGAACTTGATCTAAATTCTTTTTCAGTATATACATTGTTCTTCAATATCTCTCTTCAACTTAGGCAGATTTTGACAGCATTTCTCAATTCTCGAAATGTGTTGTGTGCAACTTACAGGTTTTACATAAATAAATGGTTCCATGATCAGATGACTTGGCAAGCACCCGATTAAAGAAAGTTAAATGGCTTCTTCATTGCAAAACATGGTGCAAGGCTTCAATAGTCCAGTATGCATGATAAGTAGCTAAGGAGAGACGGAGTATGTGGCATCTTCCAAATTTGTTTCACCACTGGAAGTTTTTTCCTTGGCATATATTGAAGGGCTGGTGATGCTTCGGGAAATGCTAAGAAGCAGAGGGATACAGGGGGCAAATCCTAGCTACTACTACCTCTTTTAAGTGCCAAGAGGCATATCCTGTGACTTAGTTAAGTTGGCTTTGTCCAGACCTAAGTATATTACTAGTGAATGTACTGGATTGTTAGGATGGCCCCTTAGCCCACTGTGTCAGAGTTCGACATCCCAGTTGCTGCCCTGGGTGAGACGCACCTTGGTCTAGGAGGGACTACACTTGAGCTGATGATGTTTTGATGTTTTTTTCTGATCATCAGATTTCCCACCTTCAAAATGAGCATGGTGGGCCACATCAGAACGGGGAGCATGCGATCATTACTGAAGAGTCCAACACCCTGTTATTTTTCTTCTGTTCCAACCCTTAATGAAAGCAATTTTCATTAATGCAAGGGTGAGCAAGCCACATTGACCTTGGTGACATGGTTCATGAACTAAAAACTTTAAAGTTGTTTTTTTTTTTTTTTAATTTGTCTTGTTTAGATCTGCCTTCTCTAAAAGACCACTTGGCATAACATAACAAAAATATCTTCCTACAAATGTGCAAACATTTCTCTCAGATATCTGGCACCACTGTGGCTGCCTCATAACCTTTAGATGCTTTAAGCATCTCTACACTGACAAAATGATTTTAGGAGAATTAAATGCAGGATTGGCAGTGGTTCTGCCAAAGCCTCATCGCAGGACATCTAGAAGGAAGGCTTGCTTCCATGGAAGCCTCTGCTCCAGGGACAGAGAGATCCACATCAAAGAGGAAAATAACTGGACAAACACATTTATCATCACAGTGTGATAATATCAGCTGCAGTTTATGGGACAAGTCTAGGAGAACTTCGAGCCTCCTTTCTTCCTTATTTTGCTTCCCAAAGCCGTTACTGAAATAAAAATTAGGATGGCCAGACCAGATTATCAGAGATGGTTTCAGCCTGTATATAATAATCCATGGATCTGTAGATAAGAGGGAAAGCTTTTCTCCCAAGATGGCATATGATTACATCTCAGGAGAATTGGTGAGAGGTACCTTCATCCTTGATCATTAACCTTTAGAGATAAAAAGCAATTTCAAAGGTCCTTTGCCCCCTAATGCTCCAGATGAGGAACCTGAGACCCAGAGATATTAGATAGCAGACTAACCTGAGAACACAGCTTGTATTAGTATATTGGGGCTGCCTTAACAAAGGACCACAAATCGAGTGGCATAAATGACAGAAATTTATTGTCTCTGAGTTCTGGAGGCTAGAAGTCCAAAATCAAGGTGTTGGCAGGATTGGTTTCTTCTGAGGGCTGGGAGGGACGAATCTGTTCAGAGGAGTAAGGATTCTTATTAACTTGGCCTAAAAATAAAATCGTCTTGGAGGTAAGCAATGAATTTTTTATTATTATGTGGCTGATAATGTTGAACCTTTTGAGCAAGAGATGAAGTTCCCCATTTGGTCAAATCCAACCAGAGATAAAGGGAAGGGTGCCCATGGATGTGGTCCATAAGGGTCAGTCTCTAAAGACTAGGGTGAGTGGACCTGGAGGTGGATGATATTTAGCATAGTGCTAAATAACCCAACAGACACATTAAGGTATTTGTAAGTTTTATAAGAACAGAAACCTGTCTGCTCTTGTTCACCATTTTATCCCCAGCTACGTCCTTCCAATACCGATCAATGTTCCAATGCTCTGACACTAACCAGGTATCCAATAATTCAATTCAGTGCTGACACTACTCAAATGTTAGCACAGACCCCACAAATTAAGGGCTCAGTCCCACGAGATGCCCTTACTTTAGACACCAGCCACAAATGGGGTCCCCAGGAAACCTGAACATCTGTCCAACTGACTACAGATTTGAAGGTTCCCATGACTTCCACTCAGGTTCAATAACTTGCTAGAACAACTCATGAAAACACTCTACTCTCCATTACAGTTTTATTATAAAGGATACAACTCAGCAACAGCCAAATGGAAGGGGTTCATAGGGCAACGTATGGAGGGATGGGGGCTTGGGTATCCAGAACTTCCAACCCTCTGAGTGTGTCACCCTCTCAGTACATCACTGTCTTGACCAACCTGAAAGCTCCATTAGCCTCATTGTTTCAGAGAATTTACAGAAGCTTCATTACTAAATCACTGGCCACTGGTGACTGAATTAAATCTCCAGCCCCTCTCTTCTCCCTGTTGGTTGGAGTCTGGGCTAATAGTTCTAACCCTCTCACATGGTTGGTTCCTTGTAAACAACCCTATCCTGAAGCTATCTAAGGACCTGTATTCAGTCACGACATTAGTATACAAAAGATATTCCTAACACTCTGAAAATTCCAAAGATTTTAGGAGCTCTATGCCAGGAATGGGGACAAAGACCAAATATATGTTTTATCATGCCATGTAGCCACATCCTACCACAGTGTCTGGTGCATAACAGACAGTAATATTTGCTAATGAATGATGCAGTCTCAGCAAGCCACTCTAGAGTCCCTGCCTCCCTCCCTCCCTCCCTCCTTCCTCCCTTCCTTCCTTCCTCGCTTCCTTGGGATTACTTACTGAATTTTTTAAGCCAAAACTATACATGGCTTTAAGATTCTCCTTCCCCTTTTTTTGGGTATTCTAGGAAAGACAAACCCGGACAGGTCTCCAGAATCTTAGGACATTTCACACCCCTGACATCCCAAGTCCTGGGAGACTCAATGGAGAAATATTCCAAACCTACTGATTTATAGTCTGTTCCAGTCTCCTTGTTTTCGTACCTTCTTTTTACCTTCACAACCAACATATTCTGCTGCCCTAAAGAGACGCGGGAAGCTAGGGTTGGACATTTGCTGGGGATGCTAGAACATTTTTTGCTTATGTTATATGTTGTGCAACATGCCACCGAAAGGACTTTATATTCTGGATAGTTTCCCAGTGATATGAGTCCCACCTTATGCTTTTAAAATCCCAAGTGATAGGCATTTTACTACATATTGTAGGGAAAACTGGATTTCTGCCAAAAGAAAATCTGAAACCAAGGATAAAGAAAATGTGGAATGGAGTAGAGCTATTTTAAATGCAATAACAGAAAAAACAAAAGTGAAAAAAACACACAGGTCCATTCAGGCCCAATATGCCTTGAAAACGTGATGTGAAATTCCAGTTTAAATGAGGGTTGGGATAAGGGTGTTGAAGTTTTCTATCCATCAGCCCACCTAGCTCTCAACCTGATGGTTGGGCTAGTTAGCAATACCCTTCTAAACTTAACAAAAACAAGCCAAACTCTAGGACCAAACTGAATTCTCAACCTAAACAGTTGCGCAAGGGCTTGATGAGGTCCTCTTAGAGAATATTTTTAGCTCTGCTCAGACACCCATGGCGCACCTTTCTGTGGAAGTATACCCTTCAAGCTGAGCAAAAAATACACATGGGGTTCCTGAATTTCCTTACCTGAGTGTCCTCTCTGGCCACCGCGTCCCCAGGGCATGTGACACCTCTTTGATCAACAACACACAGTATCATCACTTCAGGCACTGGTAAGAAAATGCATCCAAAAAGGGATTATGATACACAGCTTGCACATGTTTGCTGGAAACAGACACTGATACTGGAAGGAAATGCCTGAGGCACTTGTTCTAAACCCAGTTGATCCTTCTAAGTGACCTAGGGGGAGCGGTCGCTGGAAACAACCAGTGGGTCTTTTGAAAGAGGGACAGTGAGAACTGAGCCCACCCAAAGAGCACCAAATTATATCTAGAGGTAGAGCCTAGGTGTCTTTTTAAAGTTACCCGCCCCATCATACAATGGAAAAGAAACACATTAATCATTTTCCTTTAATGTCTTTCAACAATACTCACCTGGATTGGGTACAGGGGAATTCCATGGGAAATATTTTCAAAACAGACACGTGCAAGACCTTCCCTACCCACCCACCTGCCCCACCATTCAGACAAACCCTACGCAGGGGCAACCTATGCATTTTGCAGGAACTCCCAGGTCTTTCTGATCCTCCCTCTTCCCTTCATCCTGACTTATCCCTGGTTAAGATCCACTGAGCACTAGATCTCTATTACACTCAGTTACTAGAAAGAAATATATTTGGGTCACATATCTTAATTCCCTGCTGACATACCTTAATGGAATTAATATTTAACAATACACACTTGACTTAGATCAGAAATACCTTATAGAGGTTATCTACTTAAATTTTACATTGTTACAACTTCTGGAAGATCAGTTTCAATCATCTGATATATTACCCAACATCCATTACATAAACCCTTCACAAAACCGCATGTCTGACAAAAGATGGTCCCTCCCAGCCAAACAGGTCTGTCTTTCTAACAGGCAATGATAATGAGATAATGCGAAGTGTCTGCCCTGTGCCTCAGCTGCTAGAAAACAAGCCTGTTTTAGCAATAACTGTGCATGCTGACAAGCATCCTCAGAAATGGCTTATAAGGCAGTGTTGTCCAATGGAACTTTGTGTGATGACAGGAATGTTCTTTGTCCACACTGTCCAGTTCAACAGCCAGTAGGCACACGTGTCTAGTAAGCACTTCCCATGTGACTGGTGTGGTGGAAGAATGTATTTTAAATTTTATCTAATCTCAGCTAATCTAAGTTTAAGTGGCCACATGGGCTGGTGGCTATATTATAGTGGCATATGGTTGCAAGGCCACTTGTAAGATTTAAACTAGTACTTAATACACATGATAAGACAATACAAAAGTTTTATAGTAGTTTCAACTTAGGAGCAAATGCTATGTTTATATTTTAAGAGTGTCACTGACTTTCAGTAATATTACAGTTGACCCTTGACCAACTCAGAAGTTGGCAGGGCTGACCTTCCACACCGTCAAAAATCCTTGAACAAATTTTGACTTTCCCAAAATTTTACTAGTAAACAGAAGCCTTAATGATAACAGAAAGTAAATTAACACATAGTTTATATGTTATACATCTTATATACTGCATTCTTACAATAAAGCTAGAGAAAAGAGCATGCTCTTAAGAAAATCATAAGGAAGAGAAAATACATTCACAGTACTGTACTATATTTATCAAAAAACACCCACATATAAGTGAACCCATGCAGTTCAAACCCATGCTGTTCAAAAATCAGCTGTATTTGAGAAGACTTCTGCATATCTGAGGTTGACTATAGAAACTTGGCTGCTCTTAATAAAAAGGAGAAGGCTCAGGTCATCCGTGGAGCAGCCTGATTTAACTGGACGTGCCCTCTGTCCCGGACTGTCATAGTTATGATGCTGGGACCTGAAGACAGAATGCTGACTGTCCTCTGAACAGTGCCACTGTACCCTGCCTGGATGGCAGGGTGGTAACCTTTCCTCTCTCTAGTACCCAGATGTCTGTTACTCGATACACACTCAAGCATTACTTAGGTTAAAGAATAAAAGGCAACTATTATTTTTTAACTTTACAAATGTCCCCCTCAGTACCTAGCATAGTGTAAAAACAATAAATATTTTCTGGTTGCTTAATAGTTACACAGGTTAAAAAAAAAAAAAAGCAGAAATTTCTACTAATGACTATTTCTGAGGAAGAAAATGATGGGGGGAATAAATCTTTCTCATACCTTGATGCACATGAAGCAATTTCCTGGCCTCTTCGGGTTTTCAGCAAACAGAGCAAGTCTAGAAAATATAGTCTCACCATTTCCAATAGGCACCATCATTTGCATGAGAACAGGATGCATCTCGGGATCTGTCTCTTCACAGAGGTTTGTCTGCGTGCTAGGGTCAAGAGGATTCCTTCCTCCCTGACTGGGGGAGCCGATCATCTCTAGCACCAGATGAGACCCTCAGGAACCCCTGCTGCCAGGTTTCCTGCAAGAGAAAAACAGAAGGCTCGCTTCAGTTCCCAGTTCCTGAACCTTTTAAGCAGCACTCCCCAGCACATGATGCTTTTACTTCATGGATCACAACCAGACCCTGGAGAATGAGCCTACTACCTAATTAAAGTCAAACCCATTGCTCCTAAAACCTCAGAGATGGTTTACGTCCGTGTACACATGGCCCAGCATAGCAGAAGGAAATTAAAGGCATTCCCACTGTGCATAGATTTCAACAGAGATTTGCCTTGTATAGTCAGTCCTTCACTCCTTTCCTCAACTGTTTATGGTACTTAAAGCCTCTTAGAGAGGAGTTTTTATCTAATGAAAAATACCACTTTCCAAATTCCATAGCACTGGCTGTACATTTAAAGAACTGCTGTAGTCAAACCACCAAAATCTTTAAGTCACGCTGCTATTTAACCAAGGACAAGGTCAGAGCATTTATTATAATTAGACAAGAAAGGAGAAGGGAAAAATCCATCCTTTCCTTACAATACTTTGCAGGAGACACAGTGGAATCACCTGGGCAGCTCTCTAAGGTCTCAAGGGTTGGGCCCCAACCCAGAGGAAATCAGAATCTCAGGGTAGTACCAGGCACTACAAATTCTTTTAAATAAATGTTTGATTTTTAGAAGAGCTTGAGGTTTATGGAAAAAACTGCAAAGAGACTACGGATATTTCCCATATACCCCACATCCATTTCCCCCTATTATTAACACTTTATAGGAGTATGGTACATTTGTTACAATTAATGAGCTAATATTTTTCAAAGATTTATTTATTTGAGAACGAGGGAAAGAGAGAGAGATCGCGCACGTGAGTGGGATGAGGGGCAGAGGAAGAGAGAATCTCAAACAGATTCCCCGCTGAGCACAGAGCCAAACCCGGGGCTAGATCCCACGACCCAGAGATCATGGCCTGAGCCAAAGTCAAGAGTCGGATGCCAAAACTGACTGAGCCACCCAGGCGCCCGTAAGAAGCTAATATTGCTACATTATCATTAACTAAAATCCATACTTTTTTTCCGATTTCCTCAGTTTTCCCCTAATTTGTTTTCTGTATCCAGGATCCCATCTAGGATACCACATACATAGTTGTCATGTCTTCTGAGGCTCTTCTGAGCTGCAAGAGTTTCATAGACTTTCCTTGTTTTTGCTGATCTTAATAGTTTTGAGGAGTACTGGCCAGATATTTTGTACAGTGTCTCTCAATTGGGATTGGTCTGATGTTTTTCTCATAATCAGACTGGGGTTATGTGCTTTTGGGAAGAAGACCATAAGAGGAAGCCATTCTCATCACATCAGATCAAGGGCCCATATGTCAACATAACACATTTGTCACTAGTGATGTTGATTGACCCTAATCATTTGGCTGAGACAGTATTTGTCAGGTTTCTCCAGGACAAAGTTAGTCTTTCGTCCCTTTTTGCTTACTGTACTCTTCTTAAGGAAGTCATTATGTGCAACCCACACTTAAGGAACGCAGGGTTATATTCCAGTTCCTTGAGGCTTAGGATCTACATGAAATTTTTAGAATTCTTTGATATAGGAAATTTGTCTATTTTCCTCCATTTATTTATATCATATAGATTCATTTATTTTCTACTTTGGGTTTCATTCTAATACTAATTTATTTTTATTTTGCTGTTCCAGTGTTCCAGCTTTGGCCATTAGGAGTCATTTCAGTTGGCCTTGTGTCCCTTTGTGGTAGTGGTGGTGTTTTTCTGAGCACTTTCTTACTTCTGGGCACCATAAGAGGCTCCATGCTCATCTTACATATTTCCTAGTGCTAGAATCAGTCATTTATCCAAGTTCTGGTTCCTCTTGTTGGAGAATGATATTAGAAACCAAGATCTGGGTGCTAGGTGTGCTCATTGCTACAGGGTGACATTGCTTCTAGGCTCTTCTGTCAACAGGACAAGGAAATTACGTGTGTATACTAACCCATGCATATACACATATCTGTAAGTACTTCTGTACGTAACTATCTGTATCCATATCAAGCTAATAGGAGTCCATATTGACATCTCCAACTCTAATCCAATTATCACGTGGATGTTTCCAGTCTCTTGCTTTTCTGTAACCTCCCACTCCAACAGTGAGAAACTTGGCTCCCACCATTGTCTAACCATTTACTGAACTGCTGAATTCCTGGTATGCCTGTAGAGTGGTATCAGAATTGTTAACCTGTACCCACCTGGGAAACAAGTTTATCAACTACAGCACAGCACTTATGGACAGTTCCTTCTGCCTCTAGTCTTAAAGACTCTACTCATTTCCAAGGTTACTTAGGTCAGTACCTTTTCTCCTCCACACCTTCAGTGAGGTTGTTCAATACATTCACAATACAGTTACACTGTTTTGTCACAATTCTGCATTTCATCCTGGGATCCCAACCTACTAAATAACTTTTTTTTTTTTAAAGATTTTATTTATTTATTTGAGAGAGAGAATGAGAGACAGAGAGCACGAGAGGGAAGAGGGTCAGAGGGAGAAGCAGACCCCCGCTGAGCAGGGAGTCCGATGCGGGACTTGATCCCGGGACTCCAGGATCATGACCTGAGCCTAAGGCAGTCACTTAACCAACTGAGCCACCCAGGCGCCCACGACCTACTAAATAACTTTTTAAAATCTGCATAAAGTTTGCTTTTTGTCCTATCAAGTTCTATAGGTTTTGACAAATGCATAATATCATATATCTACCCTTATAGTTATCATACAGAATAGTTCTACTGTCTTAAATAATTTTCTGTGCTTCCCTTAATCAACACTTTCCCCTTCCCCTGAACCCCTGGAGACCACTGATATTTCTACCATTTCTATAGTCTTGCCTTTTCCAGAATGTCATGTAATTTGAATCATATAATATGTAGCCTTTTCATACCGGGTTCTTTCACTTAAACTCTTGCATTGAAGATTCACTCATGTCTTTTTGTGGCTTGATAGTTCATTTATTATTTTATTACTATGCCATTGTATAGATGTGTACCAGAGTTTGTTTATCCATATACCTATTGAAGGACCTCTTGGTTGCTTCTAATTTGGGAAATCATAAATACAGTTGCTGTAAACATTCCTATGTAGGGTTTTTTTTGTATGAATATAAATTTTCAAAACAGTAACTTAAGTTTTCAAAACAGTAAACACGTAGTAGTTCAATCACTGAATGATCTAGTAAGACTACACCTATCTTTGTAAGAAAGCGCCAAAGTATCTTCCAAAGTGTCTATATTATTTTGCATTCCTACCAGCAATGAATGAGACTACTTTGTTGCTCCATATCCTTATCAGCAACTGATGCCAGTTTTTAAATTTTAGCCATTATAATAGATGTGTAGTGTTATTTCATTACTGTTTTATTTTGTAATTCCCTAATGACAAATAATGTTGAGTATCTCTTTACATGCCAATTTTCCATCTGTATATCTTCTTTGGTGAAGCATCTGTTCAGATCTTTTGCCCATTCAAAAACTTGTTTTCTTATTAAGTTTTAAGAGTCGTTTTTATATTTTGGATATAAGACCTTTATTGGGTATGTGTTTGAAAATATTTTCTCCCAGTCTGTGGCTTGTCCTTTGGTTCTCTTTACAGTGCTTTTTTAGACAACAGAAGTTTTTAATTTTAACAATGTCTGATTTCTCAATTTTTCTTTAATAAATCACGCTTTGCATCATATACTTACAAACTCATCATCAAACTCAAGGTCACATAGCTTTTCTCCTATGTTTTAGTCTAACAATTTACAAGTTTTGTATATTACATTCAGGTCTATGATCCATTTTGAGCTAATTTTTATAAAAACGTAAGGTCTGGGACTAGGTTCATTTTTTAAATTTTATTTTATGTATGGACTCCCAATTGTTCCGGCACCATTTGTTGAAAAGCTTTCTCCACTGCATTGCTTTTGCCCCTTTGTCAAAGATCAGTTGGCTATATTTGCCTGGGTCTATTTCTGGGTTCTCTATTGTGTTCCACTGATCTATGTGTCTATTGTTTCACCAATGAACACAGTCTTGATTACTGAAGCCTTATGATAAGTCTTGAAATTGGGTAGTATGAGTCTTCCAATTTTGTTCTTTTTTCAGTATTGTGTTGGGTATTAAGCTTTCCAAATGAGTCCAATGTATAGCCAATGTAAGAAACCCTGCCCTGGAGGCAGCTGGGAATAGAAGCAAGAACACGGATTTTAGAGCCAAGCAACCCTTTGTTCAAATTCTTAGTCTGTAGGCAAGCCATTTGAAATTCTGGAGCTTCAGTTTCCTTTTCAGGAAATGGGGGATTAAAATGCTTACTGGTAGGGGTTTTTGTTGTTTGTGTTTATAAAAGCAATTCCTTGGAAAACCCCAGCATAGGGATGAGCAAGCAGCAAGTGACTAGTCAAGATGAATTCCCTTTCCTTCATTTTGAGTGCTTTCTGGACTGTTTTCTTAGGGTATTCTTAGACCATTTAATTCCAAATATTATGAAGAACTGGCATAGTTTATTATTATGGAATATCTCCCAATAGATGCATAAACATGTAAGATGGGTTTTAATCCAGAGTTTTGCTTCTCCTGGAAACTGGCTGCCTAGACTAAAGAAATGAGCCTATTTGACAATCTTTTTTAGAAGGAAGTGATTCATGTTGAGCCCATGGGGAATTAATTCTGGTCTATTTTTTAACGATTTGGGGAAGAGAGAGGAATTTACTGACTGCATGGAAACAATAATGAGAATAAGTAGCAAATAGCACAAATGATTAAAAAAAAAAAAGAGGGTGAGGAAAGTGCCTTTTTAAAAAATAAGGTAAACAGGAAAGTGACAAGGAAGGACATATTCTTGAAGCAAAAATAGGATCTCTTTATGACTACACCTTTGTACTTCTAAAAATTGGGGCCATTGTTTCAGTACACATTTACATAAGTGAGATTATTAGGTAAAAAATACAGTTTCAAGATTTTTGTATAAATGTCTTGTTTTCCAAAAATGCATCCTTCATTCTACAGAGAAAAACAAACAAACAACAAACCATACACAAGCAAGAAAACAAGGGAACAAACAAAAAACTAAAAGTCAAGAAAGGTGAGAAGAGGGGAAAAATAAAGGAACTGCATTTATCACCTACATTTATGCTCCAAGCTTGCTAGGAATTACACACATTTAAATAACTTAACTTTCATGACAAATTCAGTATCATTCTCACTTCATAGATAAGAAGTGAAGGCTCAGAAAACTAAGTAATGGGCCACAAAGCATACAATTCACAAGCCAAGTATGCCTCGAAATCAAGCACTCCAGCCCCAGCTCAAACATCCTTATACCATACTGCTCTAACCCTTTAATTTCTGAAAAGGAGAAAGAGCGTGAGAAAATTTTTAGCTTTCCAAAAAGATCCCCAAAGTTCCTAGGTATTTTATAAACTGAATTCTAATTTTCTTGTACAGATCTCCTAAGAACTCTGGTACTGCCTCCTTTAACAGTGCTGAAAGGAAGGGGTTCTTTCATTTCTTGCAGGACACAGACAGGCACATTTTCACAATGGCCTCCGCAAGATGGTAACCCTCCTCTGGCACCTCCCCAGGAGTCATTAGTGAATCCCAGAGCCCTCCATGCCTGCTCTCAAAAGATCTGCCAGCCCAGCAGCAGCAATAATAACGAGACTCGGCCACTGTGTAACAGATGCTGGTGATTCACGGGCGAGAGGGCCAGGACTCACTGTGCCTCTCCTTCCCGCTGCAAACGTGAAGCCTAACCAAACTGCTCACAATAAAACTGATGACAAAACTCAAAGAAAAGAAAATGTCAGGGGTCAGAAGTGGCCACGGAAAGCACCGTAGAACCCAATTAAAAGCTGGTGTTTTCCAGCTTCACTTGTGACGAGTATTTCTGTGCACATCCCTGCTTCCTCTCCCTGAGGAGAGGTGGTGAGACATAAACCAGCAGAGGGGAAAACACTGCCCCAAGAAAGGAGCTGTTGGAGAATTCACAGTAGCAGGTGCAATGCAATTTAGGAGTAATTAAAGATATTTGAAGAGAAAACAACCCTCGGTCATGTAAAGTAGAAGGAGATGGGGAAAATGAGGACTTAAATTTCAGACACTTTATTCATAAGAGAGACATATGGCTGTGTCCTCACAGTCACGCTGGGAATCCCAGGCGGGAGTGCTTTAAAAACCAGTTGTCTAGGGTCTGATCCTCCATTTTGCAAGTCTAGAAACTAAACTTTGTCTACTTACTCACAGCTACTCAGGTTCTCAGGGGATTCCATGCTCACTGGCTTAGAAGATCCTAAAACACAAACCAGAATGCCAAGGTGTGGTTATTGTTTTTCATTTGTAATATTTTCATTTGTATTCTTTTATTTATAGTAGCGGGAAAATTTTTTTCTATTAATTATAATACCATTGCAGGGAACCATCCTGTATCTGTTAGCTCTTGCTGTATAACAACCACGTCCAAACTCAAAGACTTGAGGCAATTAGCATTGCTTTTTGCTCATGCATCTAGGGTAGTAGCAGGGCAATTCTGCTGATCTGGGAGAGGCTCAGCTGCTCGGGCACTTGTGCTCACCTGGTGGTTGGGCCACACGTGCTGGCTGATCTAACACATGGCTAGTACAGTCTGGCAATCAGCCAGAGCAGTAAGAGTAAAGGGGCCTTGTTTCCCATCACTGAGCAAGTTGGCCTGAGTGTGTTTCCATGGTGGCATGTTCAGACAGAGAGAGGAGGAGATAAGTATTTAAAGCCTCTTGATAACCTAGGCTTAAAAGTGGCACATCATGGCTTCCAGCACATTCTGCGGGCACAACGAGTCACAAGCCAGCGTACATCCAAGGGGTTAATAAATAGTCTCTAGCTATTGACAAGATGAGTTGCTAAGTCACGTACAGGATACAGGAAAGGTAATGATTACCGCTATTTTGGCATCAACCTTCCATCCCCTCCTCTCGCAGGCTCTTAAAAACTGAATTAATAAGCAGAGGTCACTTGATAAAATAAAACCCACTACAATTGGATAGTGCTCAGGGGTTATTTCAATCAGGCTTCCAAAGAATCTGATGAACTATACTTGCTCCAAGCCCAGAATGTACCAAACACCAGATTGTCTCTTTCCCTCCCCTATCCCCTCCCACACACCTTGAATGTCCATTTGGAGGTCATCTCTCAGAGTGGATTATTTCTGCAGATGCCTGCCCCTAAACCCTTCCATTATGCATTGCTTTTCACTGGCTTCAGTCTGATGGTGGCACCTATTTCCACATAATAGATTTACTTCCTGTAGCCACTACAATAACTACTACATTTGGTTTTTAGTCAATAAAAATTTAATTGCTGCGAAAGTTGCTTCAGGAAGAGATAGAGGAAAACATTCTCTCTTCGTCTCCTGCCCCCTCCTCAGGGACAGAAAGGCAATGGCACTCGTGGAGTGTGTAAGAAGAACACTTTTCTTTTTTTTTCTTTCATTAGCAGATGCCGTAATGACCAGAAATTTATAGCCCTGTGGTTCATAACCAAGTGGAAGAGCCCAAATGTCGGTGGGCCACACAGGTTTACTGCATTCACAGGAACATTTCCTCAAGTATCCTGGAACTGAAACCTAGTTATTTTGTAGCAATCCAAGGAACCCAAACCCTGTTAGAGTAAATTAGCATTTAGGTATTCAACGTGGCTTTGGAATGAGTCTTTCTGTAAAGATGAATTTTCTAGGTTACTGTTTCTTTACACAATGCCATCCTTATGAGAGCCCAAGCGAGAAATTTCTCTCTGATCTCAGAATGGGAAACAATTGGGCTGCTTCTTAGTACTTGGAATGGTTTTGTGGTGTCTGTTATTACAGATACTGTAGATCATGTATGTGAGGGCATCTCCTTCTTTGGGAAGTTCAGCACCAAAGCTGAGACCCATCTCTGGAAAATCTATAGGACTTTTTGGTATGAATTTTAGATATTAACCTCACACCTGACTTTGCCTTATCTTTCCTAGTTCTATGTACTCCCTATTCTGCCTTCCTTACTCAATGATTTTTCTGTTTTTTTTTTTTCCTTATTTAAGATACTTTTTTCTAAGTAGGCTCCACACCCAGCGTGGAGCCCATTGTGGGGTTTGAAATCACAACCCTGAGATCAAGACCTGAGCTGAGATCAAGAATCAGATGCTTAACTGAGCTCCCCAGGTGCCCCTATTTAAGATACTTATTAAGCAGACTTATAATGCTTTTTGAGAATAAGAGAATAAAGAAGCAAACAAATAAATACCAATTTCTCAAGAAAGTTATAGTTTAATTTTTTTGAATGCTTAAAAAATTCTTTGCTTTTATCTACCTTGATGGGACTCTTCCTTTTCGATTTCAGATACTGTGGCCTGAGTTATTCATACTTCTCAATGGTTCATTATCATCTTTGATCTAAGACGACCCTTCTCATTTTCTTTCTTTCTTCCCTTTTATTTCACTGCTATTCCTCATCTGTCCCAAGGCAACCATTTCAATGTGATTAATGCAAGCTCTTTTGCTATTCTGTTCTTATACAACATATAGTTTTATATGCATAAATCCTAATGGTATGCAACTATAGTTATAAACCTCAATCTGTTTCTTTTTCATTCAGCCCATGTTTTTAAGACCCATATATTTTTCTAAGGGTACATCTACTCTGTTACGTCTCTCTGCGGGAGAGCACGAACCCAACACATTTGGCCTCTCCACTCCCCAAACTGCCTCCAACACCCTCCCTGCCTCCCCCTCCTCCACCACCACCACAAATAGGCTGTGAGGACAATCCTTAAACACAGGATGAACAGTTTTGAGAGTGACAAGGGTGCTATTAGTAATTCTACCAGGACAGCAGATGTCTAGTACCTAGTACACACTGTCCTATGCAAGCTGAAATGCCTTGTCACCTTACTCATATAGGACCCTATGACCTCTGTGAGAATCCCCTCTTGATATGCACCCAAAAGTGGACTTGTTGGGTCAGGAAGTATACATAGACCTAATCTGCTATTACCACCAGAGTCCCCTGCAGGATTTCTAGACCAGTTTACACTCCCATCAGCCGTGGGTGAGGGCTTCCATGCTCCCATGTCTCCGTCAACACTTGGCAGTACGCTGATTTTGCCAGTCTAGTACATGTAAAGAGATGCCTAATAGTTAATTTAACTTGCATTTTCCTGTCAACTGAGTTTGAGCATCTCTTCATATTCTTGTTAGCTTTTTGCGTTTTTCCTTTCTGTGAATTTTGATCTTGTATCTTTGCCCATTTTCCATTGAGGTATTTGTCTTGCTGATTTGCAGAAGATGGTACTTTTTCTAAAGTGAACACACATTTCTTTGTCTTCATAAACTGCGTAAGCAGCCTGACTATCCTTTCTTGCAGAACTAGGGTCACATGATGATGAGCATATGGATTGCTGGGGTTATAAGATGCTATGAAACATAAGGTTTGAGAGAGACAAACAAATTATAATGGACTGAATGGTGCCTCCCCCTCTGAAAAAATTCATATATTGAAGTCCTAACCCCCAATGTGACTATATTTAAGACGTGGCCTTAAATGAGGTCATAAGTGTGGGATCCTAATCCATTAAGGCTTGTGTCCTTATAATAAGAGAGAGACATCAAGTCAGTAGCATGCACACAGAAATGTTTACTTCAGGTGGGCCTCCAAGTCAGATACAGGTAAAAATATCAAACTCATTTAAATTGCTTACCTTTGGTGCCTGGGTGGCTCAGTTGGCTAAGCGACTGCCTTTGGCTCAGGTCATGATTCTTGGGTCCTGGGATCGAGTCCCACATCGGGCTCCTTGCTCTGCAGGGAGCCTGCTTCTCCCTCTGTCTCCGACTGCCATTCCCCCTACTTGTGCTCTCTCTCTCTCTCTGTCGAATAAATAAAATCTTAAAAAGAAATTGCTTACCTCTTCGGGCACTTGGAAGCATCAGAACTTGCTGTTTAACACTTGGAATGTTTTATAAAAGTTAACCAGTGGTGTCATTTCCAGGAAACTGTTCAGGATATAGGCTGTTTTCAGAAATCAGGTATTTCTTCCTCTGGAAAAAATCAGTGAATTTTTCATTTTCATCCTTTTTTGTTCGTTCTCTCTTTCTTCTCTTTTTTTTAACTTATGTTCCAAAGTAATGTCTTTCCCTGGTACCACCAAGTTTCCTAGAGGAGGATACACATGGCTCAAACACATGTGTTGTTCTTAAAAACTTTTTGCTTCTGCAATTCACAATGTCCGAAGACACTGGATCTTTGGGTCTATGCTTTGTCCAGCTGGCAAGAGTTTTTCATGGGTCCTGTAGAATGGTTTCAGGGGTACTGCTGGTCATCGTGTTGCTTAACTGTACGTTTTCAGGAACATATCTAATGCGAACATTGTGATCAGTTCCTACCAATGTGTAAACTCCAGTAGAAATGATTTACAATACCTAATATAACACCATGTGGCAGCATTCTACAGAACTGAGCTTACCCTGCTGGACCTGATATCAGACCCTGATATCAGACTTCAAATCTCCAAGTTCCCAAACCTTCAGCGGAACTCCTTTGAAGTCCTAATGCATATCCTGTGTTTCTACAGAAGTTAATAGAACTTGGCCCAGCTTTTAGTAACTGGTCCCCTCCTCGGCCACCTCCTTTACCACCCCCACCCGCACTGGATAGCTGACTTCTGGTCCTTCAGGAGGGTACACTCCCTTAAACTTCAGATACCTAGAAGACTGTTTACCTGTTCCCCATTGTAGTATTGCTCTTTCCTTTTTATTTCTCTTTGCCATTATATTTCTTTTTCACTGTTATTATCCTATCTGCTTCCCCTATCTGCCACTCCCATTCATAGATGTTCCCCTTGTCTTCTCTTTTCTATCTTCTTTTCCTGTTGCTTCTCTCATGCTCTCTGGCTTTTGGCTGAGCAGAGCATCCGTTCATTCTCAGTTTGGCCCTACAGAGCAGGTGTCCTTCCATCCCCTGAAATCACCTGGCAAAACTGTGTGTGTGTGTGTGTGTGTGTGTTTGTGTTTGTGCACATGTGCACACGTGTATGTGTTTTCCTGGAGTGAGGACCGCGGCAGACCCTATGGCTGTTCTACACCCCCAACAATTCCTAATGCCCTATGTCCTTGACTTCCTTTGCCATAGAGGCTGAGAAGCTGAAAGTTTTCAATTTGCCAACTTTCTTTGTTTTGACCAATGAGAAGGAAAACATCCTTTCTTGAATAAAAAGCAAAGCCTCACTAGGAGAAAATCCTTTGCGCTTCATTCTTTCCTATGATTTCTGCCTGGAATGTAATGTAAAGCACAGACAGAAGCAGCCAGCTAGCAAACATGAGGCTGCCAGCCTGGGGATGAAGACCCATACATGAGGTAGAAGGGCAGGAAGCTACAAAGAGTTTTAAGTCTCTAATAGCATCCTGTGCCCCCATCCTAGCTCTGGACAATCTACCTCCAGACATATTTTTACATGTTATGAAATACACACACACACACACACAATTTTAAAAAGAAGATATAAAAATATAAACAAAAATTCTGAAATTTTCTTCCTGTTCCCTGATTGCTTGGTGTATGACCTAGAGGCAAGCAGCCTATTTTGGAGGCCTCTGCTAAATAACCAAGGCATTGCTATTAACAGAAATCGGCAAAAGTTAAAACAGCAATGATGCAGAAGGGGGGAGATGCCCAGAAAAGTATACTCTAAGATAGGGTGGTAACATTCAGTCATTTTTGTTTTATATGTAAGTGACTGGAAGGATATCCACAGCATGCTCATGGTGGTAGCTTTAACCTAACGTGCGTTCTTAGCTCTCCTCGTCAACCATGTACTAGCTTGCAACAAGAAAAAGAAAAAGAAGTGTTATTTCAAATTTCCCAATAGTTCAATACAGGCCCTCCCTCCCTTCCAAAATTTACTTTTTTCTTCCGGGTGCATGCTGAGTGTCTCCCTACACTGCACAGATGTGCTCCACCATGAGCCCCCACCTGTGAGGACAGCCAGGCAGGTGCAGTGGTGAGGACTAAAGAGGATGAGGGCTCATTGCAGGTGGCCTCCAGCCTGCTCTGGGGCGGAGGTGGGTGGGGTTGAAATAAGGAAAATGAATGCCCTGTGAAGCATCACCCTTGGTCATGAGGCAATCCTCCTACGTATCAGGGGAGTTTTCCCATGTCTCGTCCCACTTATCACCGAATTGTCCCAATTCCTATTCTGTCATAGAATGATGGGCATTTAGCCCTGGAACACCTTCTAGTGCACTCCTGCCTTTTCCGAGACAGAAGAGCAAGCTCTGAAAGTGAAGAGTATGTCCAAGGTCAAAGAAGACATGTAGGCAGCAGAGTGGGGATCGGAACCCATTCAGATGCTCACAACCACCATTGCTACCACCCTGACTGCCTCAGGAAGTCCTTCTTGCAGGTTGGCATTGCCCCAGAGTGCCATCTACAGAGTCTCTTACCTTCACGAAAGCCCTATAAGGTAGGTGTTGTCCCGTCTATGTTAAAGTTGAAGAAACTAAGGCTCAGGTAGATCTTGTGGTTTTCCAAGGCTAGAAGGAAGCAGAACCAGGAGGTGACCTCAGCTCTGTCTAGCCCTTTCCATTTCAGCTGACTCAAGACAGTGTATTCTGATGCTACGCATGTTCCTACAAAGTCATTTCCCACAGTTCCTCTAGAGGGGTCCTCAGCTACTGGAGTCTTAGGAAATCATTTCAGTGCCACCTCCCTCTCCCCTTCAGTGCAAAGAATCCTTCCCGAATGAGCCTGTTCTCTCAGCAGCTGGTGGTATTTGATTTGATTAACACCCTGGGACCTATCACCAGATGTAAAGATGATGCCTAATTAATTGCTTACATTAAAGAGCTGGCACTTCTTGCATTCAGATCACATTTTCAGCTTCAATCATGTTTTCGTTTCGGCAATAATATTTACATGATTAGCAAATAGTCGATTCATACTCCAGCGTGGACCTAAGCTGGGTGTGGGACTTCCCTAAGCAGATGTCCTTGACAGGTGTAAAGAAATAGGCTTTTTTTTTTTCACAGCAAGAGCCATGAGCAAGCTCTTCTACTTGTCTTTCAATAAAAAAAAATCATGCTTGAATCAACAAATATTCCTTGAGCACTGACCTGTTCTGTGTCAGTCATTCCATTTCCAAGGCCCCATGGGGGCCAAAAAGAAGTGGACTCACTAAGAAGTCACATTAGACTTAACTGTGTTTTCTTCCCTTTTTTGGTCCAAGATCTAGATGCCTTGACTAAGAAAACAGACTCGACATTAGACATGTCAAGTTTCAATAGGCATTTGCTGAGGTCTCCCGAGATCTTATCATGCAGGAGGTCAGGGAGTTTGGGATGTGAAATGACTCCTGGGATGTGAATGGGGGGGTCAAACTGAAATGAGGTGAAGTGCCACCAGACTATCCTACACAGTATCTTTAATCAGAACGTGGATAATGATACAGAAAGGCAAGATTCTACCTTCTGACAGCAGGAAGTTGGAAGGGATAAGGCAGCAGTTTGGATGGCAAAGTTCTTGACAATGGGCAGAATTCTAACACCATGAACTTGAGTAAGAACAAATGCCACAGAACCACCAGAAGCACTACTCCACAGAGAAGGTGTGGCTTTCTGGAAAAGGCTTGACTGCGATGAGCCACAGCTTAACCCAAGGCAACGGTGTGAGGTGTGTCCCAAGTCACTGATGCATCCACTTGACTGAATTTGTGAAGCATCTACACTTAGGACCGGGAGAGTCCTGCTCTAATTTTCCCTAATCCACTCACCCTCATGTAGTGCATCCAGCTCAGCTGTAAGAAGGCTGGCTGTACACTGTGTTGTTCTAATCAGGACATTTTTTAGAATGAAAGGGTTTGCAGGTATAAATTAAGCCTGGAAAATAGGCATCAGTGAAGACTCCTGGACAAACTGGGGTCTATGTTACCTACAAGGGATGTAGACAGATTGGAGGGTATTCCGGAAGAGAGGCTCGAGGATGGGGAAGCCTCAAAAATGGATTAAAAAATAGATAAATCTTTGAAGAAAGAGATGGTGAGTCTGATGAAGAGCAAAGTTTATATGAGAGCTACTGTGAGAAATTATAAGGGCAGCATGCGGAAGAGAGGGGACCTGGGGGTTACAGGTTCTGAGGGGTTCTACTCTGGGGTAGCCAAGTTACCTCCAACAGGAAAGACTTTTTGGAAGCATATCTGGCTATATCCATCAATTTCTGGATCACATGCCTACATAGTTCTTCAAAAAAATTCCACCAAAATAGTAATACTTCCTTCTTAGTGAAACCCAGCTATTTTCTTTAAAAGTGTTATTATTGTGTAAATATACGGTGGTGGTTCTTTCTCTTTTCAGAGAGAACTTATTTTCTGGAAGTTAGACACACATCAATCTGTGATTCCCTGGGCCCCCGCTGTAGTTTTGTGTTTTATATATGCTTTTCAGGGGACTATTGAGAGGAGAATTCTATCCAGTATTCTCCTTTGTACAGACCAACACAAATATCATATTACACAATAGAAGACCCCAATGGTTATGAGATGCATCACTATTATCTGCCATTAAGGAAGAGGAAAAGATACCGCCAAATCAATTATACCCCAAACTCCTTCGCATCCAACTGACTGTCTTGGGTCACTTTTCAACTCAGAATTGGCATGTTGTTCCCATTTTCCACATGATATTTGTGTCTGTGTCATCAAGAGCACCAAGAATGCAGTATTTCTTTAAAAAACATACCACTATTTTCTCTAGAATTTTCTTCCAAACAAGTAACACTTGATGATCTGAAGATTTGATGTTGTTCCTTTTTTGATCTAACCAGCAAATGTAGGTTTTCAAACAACAAGGATTGTATTCTTTCTTCAAATAGTCCTTAAATTGTTTGCTGACTGAAACTCCGAGGGACACTGTCCAGTTATGCCACCATGAACAACAACAATATCTATTCTGCATAGACAATGACAACTACTTTCCAAATGGCACCTGGCCAAAGATGCTTGGGATATTAGAATGTGAAGTGTGGGTGTTGTAGAGTAAAATACAGTAAT